AACACGCAGATATAAAGGGAAATTGACCCTTTGCATAAACGTTGCATAACAATAGTGCCATTCCGTCATGATCCAGTGATCGGAATGTTACATTGTCAGGGTTTTTCAGGATTTTCTCTTGGGTCCGTTTTTGCAGAGAATATTGAGTTTAGCTGAACAGCTGGGGAGGCTGCACCCCCCCCCCCACCGGGGGGGACTGACACTTGTACTCAATAAATGTAGATGAGACGGAATGTGTTAAAGCAGTGGCACTGAGGGACGAGCTGAGTGACACTATAAACTAGTTAAAGATTGCGAATGCATAGTTTTTCTTGTGTTGTGAGATGAATTCCAGCCATTTTTTCGTAATTGTCGGGTTTCCAACTGAAAACTAATTTCCACCCGTCACGAATTTAACTCAAACAACTTCATTTTTACTGCACTGAAACTTTGGTGAGAAGATTGAGTTTCAAAACTCGATTCAAGATTGAATTTTTGGTGCCGTTTAACGGCCCTAAAAAATCCCTGAAAAAAACCCTGATTATATTCAAAAATGATATTTTGTGTGTGTGATATGTGGGTGCACTGGTTTAGTCTTTAAGGACAATGGCAACAAAAAATATATATTTTCTCAATAGAAAGAACGTTGAAAATTATCTATAAAATGTTCTTACAGATTTTTCGTATCAAGCTTAACTCTTGAAATATTTTGACTTGAAAGCATTGTGCTGTCTGCCATCTTGGATTAATTCTTAACCTTATTAACTATCGTTTTGATGACGTTAAGAGTGGGGTTAGCCTTATAAAATCACTTCTAAGTTACGGAGTAACAATCACAAGTTGTTTAAGTTGTTTTTATTTAATTCAAAATTTGAACTAGCAACCAAAAACGAGTTTGGGCTTCATATTGATCACTGGCTGTCGAGATAAAAAAAACTTGCGTGACCCCACTTGTGACGTATCATGCATATCCTCAATAATCCAAGACTGGCGGGCAGCTCAATGCTCAACCTCGTACCCAGGGCCTTTGCGCGGTTCAGAGGCTCTGGTCAATGCTTTCAGTCAAAATATTTCAAAAACAAGATTTTAGAGATAATTTTAAACGTTCTTTCAAATGAAACAATAAAACTTTTTGTTGCCATTGTCTTTAAAGTTTATCGTATTTATCGTATAGTCTCGAATATCGTTCACTAATTCCTTACACACCGTATTCTGCACATTTCAGGAGATCAGAGAGAAAGTCAAATGCCTGCTTCAGGATGCTGACGAACTGTACAAGCAATCGTGTTTCCATAGCGACGGTATCACGCAATGGGCGACAGCAGTCGACAAAAGATTTAAGGATTTCACGAGTCGAATGACGAAGTACCTGAATCAACTCGAGGCAAAGTTGGGATTCCCGATTACAAAATACAGCGAGGTAAGGAGACGAATCGCACCATGTGGTGGAAATGCTGGGGTGGGGTGGGTGAAAAAAAATTTGGGGAGGTGCAAAACGCGATCTCATGGGAGGCGCGCCCCTCCCACCCACGTGTGCTACGATCTCAGGGGAGGTGCGCCCCTCCCCCACGCGTGCGCTACGATCTCAGGGGAGGTGCGTTCCTCCCAAACGCGTGCGCTACGATCTCAGGGGAGGTGCACCCCTCCCCCACGCGTGCGCTACGACCTCAGGGGAGGCGCGCCCCACCACGCACGTGCACTTCCCTTCGAAATCCAACCATGCTTTGAAGAAACTTCCGGACAATTTGGAAATCAAAAACAACTTCGATTTAAATTGAGCGATTTTTTAATCAAATTATTTGTAATCCTTACAATCCTAACCCTAATCTAATCCAATCTCTAATGATGCTAAATTTTCACCAAATTTTTTTTGGACTTAGTATGGAAATTAATACGGAAAAGAAACCCGGAATTTTTATTCAAATGCTTCCGTGATAAGATTGAACATTCTGGAAGATCAATACACATTCTCACACCTACAAAACCGACAGGGAGGCCAAAAGTCGATATCTCACTTTTTAGTATAGTCTAATAAACCCAGGCGAACACACCAATATCTTGACTTAGGTGCATGTTATACGATAGGGAATGACCAGTGTCGTGATTCCTAGGATCATTTACTTTCTGCACATTTCCGCACAACACTGTTTACCATTCACTGAAATCGTAACGTGTGAGTTGAATGAAATGGAAAGTAATTATACAGGAAACAAAGAGTCCTTTAAATTTAAACCACTAACCCCAGTATCCGGAATTTCTTTTTATAACAGCTTCATTATATAACCAAAATTTTCTGTGTGATATTTGTGCTTATGTTGATCTCGTCGATTGAATGTGAACTGTTACTCAATGGTATAAGTTTGTTTTTCAAACCTATGGCTCCAGTACAAGTAAAGTATCATATATAATAAGCTATCGTGGTTTGTGTCTGACTACCTGAAAAATAAGATTACTAACACATCGAAGTCGACCCTACAGTATAGGCTATGCAGGAGGTTTATAATAAACTCACTTCCTGACCAAGGGCCGTCGCTCGAAACTTCGAAATTTTCTTAATCTTTTTCAGGTATTTCAAACACAAACCACGACAGCTTGTACACTATAACTTTGACCCGTAAGCGGACAAGCTGAATAATTGCTTGCCCGCGTAGGGAATTGAACCTCTGACTGTAGTATACAACGCTCTGCCAACTTAACCGACATTGAACTGACATGACTTCGTAGCTCAGCTGGTAGAGCATTGACTAGCATTGGACTAGGGCGAATTGAACCTGTGACTTTAGTTTGCTAGTACAATGAATGCCCCGCCAACTGAACCGACATTCAACCGACATGACTTCGTAGCTCAGTTGGTAGAGCATTGACTAGCATTGAACTATGAGGGAATTGAACCCGTGACTTTAATTTGCTAGTATACAATTCTCTGCCGACATTGAACAGACATGACTGCATAGCTCAGTTGGTAGAGCATTGACTAGCATTGGACTAGCAAATCAAAGGCCGAAGATTTTCAACGTGTCAGTGTTATCTAGTATAATGTATATATTATATTCATGGGCTGTATAATTTTGTTCCTGTTTATAGAATGACGAAGAGATGCCTGACGTCTCAGTGTTATCCCAAGCCCAGCAACATCCGCAGAGTCTTGCCATACGAGAGAAAACCCTGAACCTGCGAGAACTCTCTAAGGACAGCGGTATTCATGAACTCATGGAAGAAGAGAAGCGGAAATCAGCACGAAGGAAAGAGTAAGTCATTAAGTTCCTTTAAAGTTTATATGGCGATAATTAAAAAAGCTCAAAATATGAAAACCATATGGCCTGCCAAACAATTTTTTTTGGCAGGTGAGCCGAAGGTCAGATTATGGTTTGCTATTTTTATTTTTGGACTGCCAAAATGGTTTCACGCGAGCATGACGTTACGGCAAACCGCTAACAAAAAATGTCAAACTGCAAATCGATTGTGTCCTCAACCGCAGGACGCCATTTTTTTTAATAGAATTTCGCCTGCCATTTTATTTTTAACTTGGCAGGTCAACGTTTTTTCCGCCTCCCATTTCTAAAATTTGGCCTGCCTGCCGTTGGCCATCAGTATTGGCCATTGGCAGTTCGCCATTTCGAGCCCTGGTGATAAGCAATATATCTCTTGGCTTGCGGGAAACGTATATTTATTATTGCAAAGCTGATATTCTATCAGTATATAAAGGGACATGTGAATATCTGTTTCATGATGAATATCCGTTTCTTTGCAACAATAAATATACGTAGTGTTTCTCACAAGATATGAGCATAGGTCATTGTTTTTATTTCTATTGTAAAAACTATAAGCTAACTTTATTTATGTTGGATAGCTCTATCAGTTCTAAACTGTTCTTTCTACAGAGGTCCAGTAAGAGCCATCATTGTCTCATGCGTTACTGAACTGCATGAGGAAACTGGAGTACTGGGAGGAAACCTAATGAGGTTCTTAGTCTTTCCGTATATATCATCCTGTTACAAATAGTCATCGTCTGTCAACACTCCGACTATTGTTCTATGATCATTAATCATATGTCTATTATTAGCTGTTTAAGTGTTTGGGGTGCAAACTAACAACAACTTGTCGTAAACAAAACTGAAATGATGACAAACTTGTTAAAACTTATATGTATAGTAACACATTTTTTGTTGTTACGTGTATCAAGCTTGTTACAAACTTGTTTTCACGCATTGGGTTTTTACAATGAACGTATCGTCATTGTCACAGAACCTGAATTCAATTCTTAATTAAAAGACCTGTCCCTCGTACCAATTTGGCTTGTAGTAAAGTAACTTAGCCACAGTGTTGAAAAAGGAAGAGGAAATATCTTGCAGATTTAATGATGTTTTCGCTCATTGTCGGCCAATTTACTAGCGTAATATCGAAAGTCATTATTTCCTCAAGTCATGCCGAGTTTCAAGTGCCATTACTTCTGTCCGTTTTCCTGGTGACGAAATGTTATATATAAACTTTTTAGCGTTTAAGAAGGTATTTTTAGTATTTCTGTACGAACACGGGAAAAAAATTGACTTAGCTCTGCTCACATGCACTAGTTCTGGACTACATCAAGTCACTTTAGTATACAGTAACTCGTATTCAAGAACATATACTACGTCTACGTGATCTTACTGTACCTTGCTTAATTCAATAGTGCGGGAAATTTCAGTGAACAAAACTCGATGTCAAGGATAAGAGTAATTATAACATTTCGAAAATCAATATTTTTGTAAAGTAAAGCCATAGGTACTTGAGTGCAAGTCGCAAAGCTTTCTAAGTGCACTTCCTCAAAGTGTGTCTTTGTCTCTCTGTGTGTAGGTAAAACATATAGTGAGCACAAAATATACTTTGAGAAAGTCTTGTCCATAAGCTGAACGTGCAATGTTATTCTTTAGGTTTATAATGAACGAGCTACTTCACACAGAAAGAACGTATGTCTCCGACTTGAAATGTATTATTCAGGTGAGAAAATCTCGTAATCTTACTTCCTTACTAAATCTCGTATCTTACTTCCTTACTAAATCTCGTATCTTACTTGCAAACGAGTAGAAGTACAGGGGGGGGGGGTTAAGGAGTTAGGCATGGAGTACGGCACGGGGTGACCATCGGCCAAAGTATTAAAAAAAGCATCATCATTAAAGGGTATGGGCAATGAAAATTTCTTCATCTATCTTATTGCTTCATCTGAAAGAGCATGAAAAAATATGCCGATTGGCCGTTTACAATAAGCCGATTGGCCGTATTCTATCTCATCTGGTTCCGAAGTTATAAGCAAAAATGTGCAAAATATAAATTGCTGATTCAGCACAATGTGTGACGTCATAAGCGGGGTAAGTATGTTTATTGAATACTACACTGAAGCATAGCTCAGTTATTATGGGCCCAAATCAAGTGAAATTTTGGATACTGATTGTACATGATGAGACGCATGGAAAAACACTTCTAATTTTGTTGCCAAGGTAACAATGTCGTTCCCAGGACCCTTGCGCCAATTTTATAAAACAGCTTTATTCAAGGTACTGATAAAAATAAAATAATATCAGAAGTATGTGTACGATACCTATGCATGCCGAAAGTTTACTTGCATGATAATAATTCGAAAATGACATACACATAGAGAAATGCAACTAGTTATTCAAAATCAGTGTAAGGGGCCTGGGAACGACTGTGTTGCCTTGACAACGAAATTAGAAGTGTTTTCCCATGCGTCTCATCATGTACTATCTGTATGCAAAATTTCATTTTATTTGAGCCAATAATCACTCAGCTATGCTTTAGTTTACTATTCAATAAACAGACTTACCCCGCTTATGACGTCACACATTGTGCTGAATCAGCAATTTATATTTTGCACATTTTTGCTTATAACTTCGGAACCAGATGAGATAGAATAGAGCAGTAAACGGCCAATCGGCTTATTTTTTCATGCTCTTTCAGATGAAGCAATAAGATAGATGAAGAAATTTTCATTGCCCATACCCTTTAAAGGAGCTATGGCAGTGTTCTATGGGGAATCACAAGGGGGGGGGCAACCTTGGGGCGCTTTCCATTTACTGGTCAGATCCGAATTCTTTTCTCTGCATCAATGGAAAAATCTGGTCTATATGTTTCTCAGATATCTAGCGAAAATGAACCTCATTCAGATGTTATCTAAATTTTCTGGTCAGATAGGTCCGAAGCCTAAATGTTTTGTGTTCCATTCAACAATTTGACCGTTCTAACCGGTCTGGCCGTGTTAATGGAAAGCGCCCTTGTATTAGGGATTTGGGGATCTTCGTTTCTAAGCATGAGCTATCTTTTCCAACCTCGGTGTTCGCTCCGATTTTGTAACGGGAATTTAATATGTTGTTTTCGTCGTGTTCCAGAACTATATGGAAGTCATGGATGGCAACGCAAATGTTCCTCCTGGTCTTGTTGGTAAGGAAGATGTCATCTTTGGTAATATCAAGGAAATTTCCGAATTTCATCAAAGGTTAGAAAATCTATCTTATATAAGACCAGTAGAGCTTGCATATAAGATGTCATCGAAGATGTCGTCTTTGGTAATATCAAGGAAATTTCCGAATTTCATCAAAGTTAGAAAATCTATCTTATATAAGACCAGCATATAGCTTGCATAAAATGATATAGACAGGATCATAAACACGAAATATTAATGTAGTGAAATATTACACAGTGATAAACGCTAAATGCAAGAAAATGTAAGGTCGTTTCTTTTTTCTCGTTACATATAATTATTTCAATATTTAGTAATTTGGCTCAATCCATTCTTATTCGAATATCTGTCTTTGCCCTAGTACATACACATGTGTTATTTAATCTAGCTGAAATCAACGAGGCAATGTATACAAGCCTTATGGTTTCTATTTGGGCTTCCTCACCAGGCACAATTATTTTTGTATATATATTTATAATTTTTGGTTTTTGTAATTTTTTTTGTGGTGAATCAAATCAAATTATTATTATAATTGTGTATTTTCAGCGTATTTCTAAATGCTTTGGAGAAATACGAGACTCATCCCGAGGACGTTGGTGAATGTTTTGTTGAAAATGCGGAAGAGTTCAAGAAGTACGTGTTCTACTGCAAGAACAAAACTTTATCCAACGACTTGCTCATTGAACATGGCGGGACATTTTTCTCGGTAAGTTATGACGTAATACTCCTAATGTTCTGCCAAAACGTTTCACGTGATCATAAACAATGCTGGTGCCTGTGACTATTCGATCTTAGATGGATGCAATGGCGAAGGAGATTGTTCTATTCGTAAGCGTTGTTTACACCATCAAAGTTTCTGTGATCACAGCATGAATTTTGCATAGGCAAAGTCTAAGTTTTGAATGATTTGTAAGATATGTTGGAGGGAACTGATTTAGTTTTACAAAGGGAGTCATTTCCTTCAAAAATTTCTTACAAATCTTTCAAAACTTAGAATTTACCTATGCAAAATTCCTACTGTGATCACAGAAACTTTGATACAGTATAAACCAGCCTTTATGATTTCAAAACTGAAATTTTAACCTAAGCCGTTTGCATTTTCCCTCCAGGATCTGCAAGCTTCGTACAATCATGGGCTCTCCATAGCTGCTTACCTCATCAAACCTGTTCAAAGAATAACCAAGTATCAACTTTTACTCAAGGTTTGTGAAATAATTTATTTATTTGTCCACAGTGGGAAGGCTAAGGCTACAGTGGGGAAGATGTTAAGAAGTACCTGTACAGAAAGTAGACGATCGAGTGAAAGAATGAAAGCGGGCGAGGGAGGGGGGTAGGAACGAGGCATGAAAAGAAATGTATTATAAGAAGGAAAAGGAAGAAAGAATAAATATATGGAAAGATAATATACGTTTGCAGTTCAGGTCTAAAATTTAATAATTTTTGCTTTCAGGATTTGTTGACGTGTTGTGAAGGTTCAGAGACAAGTCTTCAGGTACTGATATGTTTGGTGTATAAAAACCTGGAGTACACTCTGGTTTATGTGACACTAAAGCTAAACGTTTCAATCTTCATTCACAGGCTGGCCTGGAGGTCATGTTGGGCGTTCCTCGACAAGCCAATGATGAAATGTCAATCGGTCATATTCGAGGATTTGATGTAAGCGTGCAGTGACTTTCTTCCGGGATTTCTCATTCAGAATCTTAGTCTTTTAAATACTTGTTAACATTTTCTATTATTCTACCAATTTTAGGAAAATTTGCACTTTTTAGGAAGAATTCTGCTACAGGTACGATTAACTATTTCAAAGTTGAAGGATGGGACCCAAATTTTAAAACTCCCCCTCTATAGTTTTAGTTGTCACTTTAAAAGATAAATTTCTCGAATAAGGAGTTTATCTCAATCGTAAAAATGACAATAGACCTTTCCCCTTTTAAGTGAAATTTTGATTTAGACAAGTCTGGACAAAAATTTCATCACAGCTTGAAAGAGCATCGCAAAGTTTCGTTGCAAAATGTTGTAAAATGCGGATAATATAGCCTTGCGAAGTTTGCCGTTTTTCACTCATTTTGCATTACAAACGGGAATTTGATAATCAGATGATCAAACTGATTATCAATTTCCCATTTGTAATAGAAAATGACTGAAAAACGGCAAACTTCGCAAGGCTATATTATCCGCATTTTACAACACTTCGCAACGAAACTTCGGAATATTACTAATTTCGTGATGCTCTTTCAAGCTATGATAAAATGTTTGTCAAGGCTAGTCTAGACCAAAATTTCACTTAAAAGGGGAAAGGTCTATTGTCTTTGGGCTTGTATTCCGCTAGGAAATATATAAAAGTGCACTTCCTTTGCCATTCAAATGATTTTACAAACCATAATTTTGCCAAGCATCGGTTGTTTTAACAATTATTGTAAAGCTTATCTTCTAATTTTTGCAAACCTCTAAACTTACTAGGATGTATTCTTCATGTGGGATGCAAAGTTGTTGAGACGGAAAGGCAAGGAAAGGCATTTATTTTTGTTTCAACAAGCTCTTCTTGTTACGAAAGAAGTCAAAGACGTCGATGGAAAAGTTGTCTACTTGTACAAATATAAACTGAAGGTATGTAACTCAAAATACAAATCATATAAGTGTAATGTACAGTATTTTTCTTTAATATTTCTATTTTTCGTTGGTTTGTCTTAAATTTATAGTGCCCAGAGCTGGGTGTGACGGAACATATTGCAGAAGACGGATGTAAATTTGCGATATGGACGGGACTTCCTCCGAATAATGATGACAGGAAAATAGTCAAGGTACTGAACGAGTAAACTTCAAATCTTAAATTACCTTCCACGCTAAAAAAATATTGTAGTCCTTATTTTTATGAAAAATATGTAAATTTTTTCACAAGCTGTCGACAAGTTGTGTTCCAACTGCTTGTTCCCAGTTGTTGGAACAAGTTTGGAACAAGCTGTTAACAACCTGAAACAAGCTTGATGGCATTATCAGACTTGTTACAAAGTTGTTGCAACAAGTCTGATACAGTCATGATATGACAAGAATGTTACAAGGTTGACGACACAAGATTGTAACAATAGTGTTGTGTCATGACTGTATCGGACTTGTTGGCATTATCAGACTTGTTATAAAGTTGTTCTAACAAGTCTGATACAGTCGTGATATAGCAAGAATGTTACAAGGTTGACATCACAAGGTTGTAACAATATTGTTATATCATGATTGTATCGGACTTGTTGGCATTATCAGACTTGTTATAAAGTTGTTCTAACAAGTCTGATACAGTCATGGTATAACAAGAATGTTACAAGGTTGACGTCACAAGGTTGTAACAATATTGTTTAGTTATATCATGATTGTATCGGACTTGTTGGAACAACCTTGGAACAAGTCTGATAATATCAACAAGCAGTTGACAAGTTGTTCCATACTTGTTGACAACTTGGGGCAAGCAGTGCGAACACAACTTGTTGACGGTCTGTTAGCAGACTTGTTATAAGATGTGAGATTTTTGATCGGAATACTTTCCTTATTACACCTCAGGCTAATTCATTGGACGTGAAACAAAACTGGGTAAAACAATTGCGAAGTCTCCAACAACAATTCCAATTTGGTGTCTTGCGTAGCAGAAGTAAGTTTTCTTTTTTATTTTGAAGACAAATATTGTAATCTAAAATATTACACCAATATTTAACAACCACCAACATTTGCCCTCGACAAATAATTAAGATCGTTGTTAATGATATTTTGTTCTATTTTATTCTTTTAGCAATGTCAACGTGTTCAAGAAGTGCCTGGAAAAATCCTGATAGGTATTGGATATTTTCTTTTTTAGTTTAATCACATTGGCATTGTTTAATCTCATGCATTGATCTAGAGTATACAGTATCGTATACCAATGTCCTGAAAAAGTCCGTGAATAGCATTTCTGTGAATTTCGTTACAAGAACAACAGGCCAAGGGCCCAAGAGAAAAAAATTATTAAATAATAAAAAATAAAAAATATTAAAACTCAGTTTCTCAATTTTCATTTTGAAGTCCATGAATAACTTTAAGTTTTGTAACCAATCAAATTTCAAAATTTGCGTCACATGTATGTCCTTGCAAACCTAATATGGTTCACTAATGAAAATGCCGTTTATTTACAAACCACCAGTGGTTGTATAAATTCTTCTGATTCAATCATGAGCGCTTTATTCAGAATTGATTCAGTTCACACGTTGTAACCGAATTAACCAACATAGCGGCGGATTACGTAATTTCCCACGTTTAGTGACGTCATAGGTTAAATTAAGAATTGCAGTCAGTGCTTCCACGTTAAAATTTTCAATATCCATATATGACAGCTAAAATTTCCATATATTTAACAAAAATTCCATAAATCACCAATGCTATCCCAAAATATCGCACTTTATCCCACACATGTTTCAACTATATGGCTCAGCGTTTGAAATTTGGGTCCTCAGAAGGGCTTGGGGTGAATTTTATACTTGGCCTAAGAAAGGATAAGATTGATAAGAACATGATAAGAACATGTAGAGCACAGTTGTAGACAAATCTAGGTCCATATTATGTGCAATAGTATATGTAACTTTTTTTATTAAAAATTGGATTAACTGGACAATTTCCTGACTACCACTAATTGACTTCCGCATTTTCTTTACTCTTCAAGAAATTACTTCCTTTAAAATTCCTTCGTTCTAAACAAAGACGAAGGACTTTGCGGAAGTCTATTGGACAATTTACAATATTATCTGAGTACTGAAATTTCCATAGAATTTCCATCATTTTTCCAGGGCCACAAAAAAGTTCCAATTCACTTCCAAAATTCCATAACATATGGAAATTTCCATAAAAGTGGAGTATCCTATACTCCGGGGGGGAGGGGGGGGAGTGACGTTCTTTCCAACAATCCATGTCATTGCGAACGCGACGGTATAGGCTGTGTTGATTACATTGTCTATCACTCAGTTATACTCTGTCTATAGCCAGCATAGCGGACGGTTTTTAAGGGGTTGGGTTTGAAGCAGATTGTCTGTTTGTATTGAAATCTCTGCGGAGACATGCACAAGCTAACGTATAAAGATATCTTGAACGCGTTCTTATGTCATTGCAGAGAGAGCGGTGTAATCGACGATGACAGAGTTTCGTGGGACTTTGAGTATGGAGATAAGGTGAGTTTTTATTTTCTTTTTATTTTGGTTGGTTTCATGGTCCACGATACCGGATTCGCTTGTCACATCATCGAATCTGACCGTCTCAAGAACAACCGTCTCAGTGACAAAATACGACGAAAATTGTCAAGGGGAAAGTTTTATGAGAGCACATCATTCCTGAGCGGTATATTTTCATGTCGTACTTGTATCGAGCAAAGAGAATTCTGTATTGTGGTAGCTTACATGGGAACGTAATATATGCACATTTGTTTTGCGATCATACATCGTTGTTGCAACCAACGCGAATTATGCAAATAAAGTAAAGTTGCGGGCTGTTCGTGTCATCCCTTAAATCTTGAATATTGCTAGCGACGCTGGTTGCCATCAATTTACATTTTGGAGAACTCGCATGACTAGTCACTAAGACTGGGAACATAGAATGGACAAAGGTAACCAAACTGATTAGGCCTATATTATACAGTCATGTAGCCAAATAATTCAACTATACTAAAGCATTCATTTATAGCACCAGAATTTGAAGGGCATGTATAGCTCAGAATGATTGACTCATCGGGCTAACTGATGAGTGTTGTCTACTGTTTAACTGTAATAAATACCTGACCATGGCGTTAAGCATGCATCGTTTCTGTCTTCAAATAATTTAAATGAAACGTAAATTTAATATAGGGTATACAGACCATAGATATCTTATATACACTAGATGGTGCATCTAATTATTCTGAAATTCAAAAACTGAAGCCGTTATTGCAGTCTCAGGTCGTTCCCATAAAATGATTCGTATGTTTTCTATTTCTTAAACAGGGAACTTTAAACATTAAGTTAACCCTATTCCAAATACGTTTTTAAACTATTCAAATGATGAAAGTTATTGTTGTTTTTAAGCGTTTATTAGCAAGTGGGAACGACCAACATGGCCGCCATCTATTCAAATGGGGTAACCGCTGGAATATTCTTGGCTTCAATTTTACTAAAAGAAATGCGCTATCTAGTGTATATAAGATATCTATGATATAGACTCAGTTCTCGATTTGCTAAACAAAACACTGCGTTGGCCTATTCATCAGTCATTATTTCGGCTCATCTTTTAACGATTGTGTTTTGTATACATACATAATGCATTTATCAGCATGATACTTGTAAACAAATTGATATTATAACCACATAAACTGAAGTTAATGTTGATTAAATAAGTTTGATAGCATGTTGGCAATTCGCAATTAGAAGTTAGATCCTAATTCGTTTTGCTTTTAACCCTTGTATGAATTTGCTATTGTAATGATGACAATTGAAAACAGCTTTCTGGTTATGACACAATTTGTCGGTAAAATAGAGATCAATTGGAGCTTTTTGCAATGCTAATTAAGTTATTAATTTGGACCCCGATGTCAGAACAATTATTGCAAAGAGTTATACCTCAAATTCCGCCACAATCTCATATGAAGGTTGCTTCATCCGGTTTCAGTAATAGCATCGGCCCTATAAGCGCCTCGGTAGGATTTCTAGGGAGGGCTGTTTACACAAAACGGATAGAGATAAATGTAGTTTCGTTTGGTTGAAAAGGGCATATTTATTTATTGATACTTATCATAGTAGAAATACCTATGGCTAATGGTGTCAATTCATGGGACGAATGGAAACCATAATAATTTTGTATTAGTAGAATAAATATTCCTTCATAGTTGAGACACAACCAGCCAAATATATAAATCTCGATATGAATGTTTTGTGGGCAAAACAAAAGTCCCCAGTACAGTATGCTGATTGCCGGGTTCATTCTGCGTGTGCGAGCCACATCGATTTAGAAACAAATTTCCGCAATTAGAGTGACAATGGTAAAAAACATGAAAGGGTTTAAACCTTTACCCCGTTGTATTGGTTGCTACAATAAAATGTGTCAGACATAAATAGTTGAGGTTTCTTTCGTCTCATTTAATTTAAACGTGAGTCGATGACAGAATAGAACTGTTGCGGTATCATCACGGGGTCGAAAAATGTCCATGTTTGTCTATAATTGGTCATGCTATAGTTCCTCCTCTTAAAGTGGCGCGTGGACCCTGGGTACGAGGTTGGGTAATAGCCCTTCGGATCTAGTCACGGCAATGTCAAGTTGTCATGGAGAGATTTTTGCTCACGACTTGATGGAAATATATTGTAAAAGTACACAAAAAAGCAAATATATGTTTAAATAATCAGTCTGAATGACAATGCAATAAATCTGCAGTTTAACCGTATGCTTTTATGATAACAGCTTGATATATTATTATTACGATCGCGATAGATAACCTTCGATTCAACATCTTGACTCTGTTTAGGCTACTGGCGTAGCTCAATAACGAGTCTGCCAGCTTCTTTTGGAGGCTAACTTGGGTTGGACTAGTGTTTCTACCCTCTTGAAATTGTGTGATTAGCTAATGGATATTAGCTTTTAAAAGTTGGGGGCTACCTTTGAGTGAGCTAGTGCATTTAACTTCACGTAGCTAGAAACGAGCTATATCCTGCGATTGACTCAACCAATATTAAATAATGGGTACTAGATTTTGTTGGTGCGGTTCTCTTATAGTGGACTCGTATTTCTACCTTCTTGAGATTACGTGATTCGCTAATGAGTACCTGTTTTAGGGGCAAACTTTAGGTGAGCTAGTGCTTTTGTTTCATGGGGCTTTCTTGTAGTGGAGTAGAGCTTTTACCATCTTGAAATCGCGTGATTCACTATAATGAGTACCAGCTTTTCTTGGGGGTACACGCTAATGCTTTTAAATTCACCTTGAAATAGGCTATATCCTGTGAGAATTCAACTAATGAATACCAGCTTTTTTTACGGTGAACTTTGGTGTTCCTTTTGACAGGCTATATCCTGTGTGCCATTCAACTAATAAGTATTAAGTACCAGTTTTGTTCATGGGGCTTTCTTATAGTGGGCTAGTGTTCCATTTAAAAGGCTATATCCTGTGTGCCATTCATCAATGAATACCAGTTTATCATGTGTACAATTCACTAATGAATGCCAACTTTTGCTTCATGGGGCTTTCTTGGAGCAGACATGGGTTCTTGGCTTGAGCTTCAGACAGACTATATCCTATGCGCTATCAATATCCGCCATGTGCAGTGAAAATAGATATTAATTGGAACACACCTAATATTAGAACACAGAACAGGAAAACTATTACTGCCTTTTGAAATTCCCGACAGTAGGTCGCTATGTCCAGTCCGGGCAGGTCTAGCACACCTGTTTCAACATGCTTTGTAAGTGTCTTGCGCGGCTTTCAGTCCACTTTGGTGCTCGCGGACCTACCATTCAACTACATGGGTGTCCATACGACCTGTTCAATTTGTCTTGAATAGGTCGCTTGCCTGACATGGATGGATGAGCATTCTCGTTACCTCCTAACGGAAATGTCGTTATAATTAATTCATCACATGTTCCAACTGTGTACACAAGATGTTTTTCGAAAGGGCGTGTTCGCAATGAAGTTTCGCTGCAGATCTCTTATCTCTAATTCGGACCAATTATGCGCATTAAGCACGTAATTGAATTCTTCGGCTTTTTAATTGACACGCCCTTGAGCCCAAGTGCAAAAATGTTTTGCCGAACCCCGAGGCGCTGTATTATTTCCCTCTTTTATACACGTCTTTCCCAGATGTATACATTGTTCGATGTATAGAAGTGTCTGGTACTAGACATGAATTGAAATAAATAGAATGATTACAACTACGTTCTAACTTATATAAAATACATGATAGTGTTGGGAAAGCATTAAGAACAGCTAACCAAGGCTCGCTCTTATGCACCAGCACTCAAAATTAATGTTGGTCCCCTCTCATTATACCCTTTAAATATTTCATCTTATTAATCGATAAAATTGATTTAACGAGAACGTTAGTTTGTACAAATAGTACAAAGGTGGCTATCGAATTATTGTTTTCTCGATAAACTGTTTGCAATAGTTAATTGTATAGGATCACGTCTGTCTTTCGCCTGGGACGTAGATCAGTTTAAATTAAACAGGATATACATAAACAGGAACAGCATTGGAAAATACTACCTTCGGGACTTGGCAGCGGAAAAGCAGGAAAAAATTTGTCTTTTGAAATATTTCAGGCTTGTGCTTATGTGGAAGTTTGTATTGTAAACTTTACTGCATCGCATTGGCGTTTGTCTTTTGTTGTTGTGCTTTTTTCCACACATTTCAAGAAGGCTTTTAGATGAGTTGTCTGGACATCTATTTTGAAGCATTTTCAGTCGATACAAAAACGAGCCTCTTTGCTTAATATGGTTGTGCCCCACTTTCCCACACTGCCCCACTTTCAATAGTAAAGAGCTATATGCATATTTGACAGACTGATGCCAAGATATGTCATTTCCATTTTCGCTATAACAATCCAACAAACTTGTTACTTGTTATTACATTTATAGGCTAACAAATATACAAACCTACACGAAATAATTTACATTATTTTCTTCATCCTGATATTAAACTGCACCATCTTCTGCACAATGGTGCTTGGTAGAACCCTCCTATGTTTACAAACTATAAATATTAAATATTGATCTACTACGAATATCCATACTAAATCGCAAATCTGTTCCTTCCGTATAAGAAGACAGTGGTGTCTTCTTTATATACGGAAGGAACAGATTTGCGATTTATTTTCTTTTGCTCTTCAGATATTTTCTCTAATCTCCGTGAGATATTTTATCTTTGTAAACATTTTATCTTCACGATAAACCATCAGTTCGTACTGTAAAAAAAATTCAAAATTCCGGCCAAGCCTTACTCTTCACATTTCCTGGTGTTGATTGAATGCGTTTAGAAATAAATTAACCACATTATTGCGTTTGAAGAATTCGGCTAATTGTCTATCTTCTATCTTGACTTTCGTAATCAAACGAAGCATACGGCCTCGCTCTTTAAGATTTTCCATGCACGGTTCATTTGTTGGGTCAGTAAAAATACAACAAGGCAGTTCTACGCAGCGAAGGTAGTATTTTAAAAAGACGGGTGTTTAGGCTCCTATCTTTCTACAGTCTTCCGGTATGGCTTTGCAACTTGCATAGCTCAAATTACAAACTCCCCATTGCGTTATCTATTTGTATGCAATGCAACGATTTAGACAATACATGAGATCGCATAATTACTGGCCAAGCCTTGTATTCAATATGCTTTGTGTTTCCGTAGGCTTGTGACGAAGTATCTAGCACCGAGGTTACATACTACAGCGTTGAGAACTACACGAAATTAGCCGAAGACGAAGTTTCCGTGAAGAAAGGACAATTCGTTGAAGTCCTCGAGAGTCCTGCGAATAATGTCCGATGGAAAATACGCTTTATAAACCCCGATTCTGAGCCACAGATTCAGGAAGGCTGGATACCATCAGACGTTTTGAGGCGGCAAGAAGAATCGCGGCGAATACGAAGGAACTCCGACGGTTCCTTATGCAGTAGCGAAGGTAAGACCATTCACAGGAAACATTTTGCTTTTGTTGGGTTTTTGTTATAAATATACGATATCATATTCCCGATAATGACTTCGAAATACCTGTTGTCAGTCGTATTGCGTAATTCTTATTGAATTTGAGAATTGTATACAAGTCCTTTTTTGGTAGATTTTTGTAAGCGTATAAGGTATATACAAGAGGTTCTCTTTGTGTGGTAGCTTGAATCCATTTAGCCACAAAGGTCATGTCAAGATTTCTATACTTATGTCGAGAGCCAACGTTTAAGTCTTGTGTCTTGTGACAATGCGTTCCAAAAGACATGTTTTTCAAAAATACTGTCTCACAGGAACAACCGTTTGAAGTTTAAGCAAGTAAAAATCTACCAGAAGGAACGAGTGAATCAAATTTTCAATAGGGCTGCTTAATTTTGCGATATCATTCCTAAAATTATTGTCGATTGAAGCATGTTCTAATTGCTGGGGTTTTGCCTTTTGGAAACGATGTTATCAGGATCGTTTAGGACAGTGTGTTAATTAAATAGTCTCGGTAATATTGTTTAAATCAAAAGATAGCCTTGCCTTTGGGTATACGTCTGTGTTCGGTTATGGTACTTGAATTAAACTTTCAGTTCGGCAGTTCCGCCTGCTTTGCCCTTTCAAAGTAACTTTTATGCAAAGCCTAAAGGTTTTGATCTTATGAAACGTATCTTTACAGTTCAGGTTTGTTCCAGGGCATAAAAAACAATTCAATATAACATTAAAGTGTTTTTTTTTTTATAAAATTTTATTTTGTTTGCATGCAAGTTAAAGTGTTATATGGAATAAAAATTAGTCTCCTGCGGTTTCGTCTCATTACATTAAACACGAGTCGTGCAGTTTCTCAATAAACCGCTTTCGATTCGGCTTATAGTTTCAAATCTGTAGGAACGTATAAATTATATATATGTTGTACATGCTGTTTGAGGTTTTTGATAATCATTATATATAAAATTGACTTTTTGTTGACAGGCTTTTATTCATCAAAATTTTTCGTCTCAACTTATTTTAGAGATCGCAATATATTTTAATCCACAACTTAGTAAGTGCGAAGATTTTTGTGAGCCCCCCTTTCAAGTTCACATGGCTTTATTGAGACTGTAATCTTTGGGCATCGTCTTGGCTAGCTTGTTCAAAATAGACACGGAACGATATGGATTACGTGTGGTAATGGATTACGTGTGGTAATGATTAGATCGGCATTTCTCGGATTATTTTGTTTGGGTCAATATATCAACATTCATTTACATCCTGCTTGCTTTTTCCTGTATGCAACACGAGAGATACGATACCCTCGCTCGACTAATATTAGTAGAAAGTATTCAAATGAGATCTACTGTTCGTCCTAGGACTATATAATAGCTATATGCATTGATTTTATTAGCAATATTAGGCATTTGGCATTACACTGTCAACAAGTATATGTTATAAAAATTAGGTTTTCTATATGTTTCCTGCTAATTTCAACGGGCTAATTCATTGTTTATGTCTGTGTGGAAATTGGTATATATAAAAACAGAGCCCAACAGCTAGATTGTAAAATATTTGATACGAATGGCAAAGTATGACACCAATATACGTGCATACAACCTGTTTCTAAAAGTTGCAACCAATTTTTAAAGGTTTTTTTTAACCTATTGAATATAGGTTAGATCGATTAGTCAAAACTAATAAAAATAGATTGATTTTGGTCATGCAAATTAATTCGTTGATTTTTGTAACCAAATCGGTTGTTATAACCCATTAGGCATTTATAAGGCCATTTTCATTTGTCAGTCAGAGTTATTGACGATGATGATAGTATATTAATCGTTATCATGTAGTTAGCAAACATGGTCGCCACTGAAACAAATCTATTGTATTTTTATGCAGCTTTTATATAATTTGACCTCAAGTCATTGACGGGTCCGTGCTTGTTTTTAATTTCGTGTCGTATTTCGAGTGATCCTCTGGAAATTTGTTATTGCACTTGTTAACGTAATCGTCTGGCCCTGAGGCTGACTGCCATTGATATTAATGTGAGAATTTTATGCTTTATGCCTTTTTAAAATGTATTTTGAGCACTATATAACTATAAGCCAGAATAGGATACTATTATAAAGTATACAAAATAATGGTAACTTTGAACAATGTTATTTTAATATCGACGTTTCGACTAATATTTAGTCGAAACGTCGATAATATTCTATTCTATAACATCATTGTATGGTATCTCTGGGCGTCTGATGACCTATATCGCTATATAGAATTATACCCACAATTTTTCCCGCTTTACTCTGAATCCAAATCCTTTATACTACTATACATATCAGAATTGTTATCTCGACAGGATACTAGCTAACTGGTAATAAAATTATGGAACAGTGTTGACAAAGTAGCTCCTCCAAATATTTTCTCTAGTGTCAAAACATTTAAACATTACCTTTATAATTCTTGTTAGTTTTACTGCATGTATTTGATGTAAGTATGTTATGTACTTGGTTTAGCCTGATTGTCCTTTCACAGGAGTTAATAATTGACTGTCTCATAGACATAGTATATGAATTTCGTTAGTATTGAAGTTGGTTAACTTTTTATGCTATATATAGTATCTATACGTATTTTATTGCGGAACAGGTGCATGGATAAATTTCAAACATTTAACAGTTTTCGTTTTATTTTCTCATATTATATCAAATTTTAAGTGATATAAGATATTCCTGAAACGTCGATAATAAATTGAAAATGAAATTGAAATGTTCGTTTGAACTTTATTGAAATACTTCTAGTGGTTACCGAAAATTCTAGGCTATACCGTTATGTCAATAGTAAAAACCCAACGGGCAAATGAATACGCATTGGGTTGGGCACATTTGGAATTCGAAACAGAATTCCACTAACGAAGACCTAAAAGGGTCCAAAATATTCATGTGACGTTAAACTCTCAAGCTGTCAACATCGTTCCCTGCTGACAATTCTGTCAAGTTTATAAACAACAATAATGTTTCCCAAGAAACTGTTTTGCCTCTGGGGGGATTTATCCTATGACAAATAATGGAAACTTTTTTCTTTGGTGCATGTATATTAAAAAAAAAATGCACGAAAATAATTACATATCATTTCAAACACTTATTAACAATTCATAAGCTTATTGGCGAATCATGCATGTCAACCAAATATGTCGCGTCATGAGGCTTACCTGATAAAACTCATCTTCATTAGTATTCTTTATATAAAAATCCATCCTAATTACTTTAGTAATTAGTATACTTTATATAAAGAATACTAGTGAGACGGCATCTATTGTAGTCGTGTTTGAAGCTATTCAAAACACTTGTAGACTGTAGTCGTGCAGTTTTATATCTAAAATGCTCGTGCTGCGCACTCACATTTAAAATATGATAAAACACTCCTACGCGTATTTTAAATAGTACTTAAATTGTCCAAATATTTTGCCAATTATTTTAACATATACAGCATCATAATGTCTTCAATAACAAATTCAAACGCATTTGAATTTGTTATTGAAGTTCAAACGCAAATTCAAACGCATTTGAATTTGTTATTTCAATTTGTTATCGTTAGATCCAAGTTAGTTCTTTGACAAAAATATCTAGTTGTTTTTTATGCAGGCTATTTGAAATTGGATGTGCGTGACCCTTGCCACAAAGATAACTAATATTATACCGGCTACGTGACAGTAATTGGCAGTTTTCATAGCTGATTATATTTAAGTGTTTTTGATTTCATTTGCCAGTTATACTTTGGTCGTTGTATGCATATACTTGGCAGAGATTCAGTTCCTCATGAGTCATGGTCATAGACGTATTTTGCTATGAATACATTAACTATTATACTTGAACGCGCTATAGCTTGCAATTTTAACTATTCAAACTGAGAGAGTTGATTCTCACAGACACAGATATAAAGATTTGAACCGCTTCTAAGGTTTATCAATAAGTATTGTGTTCTAAAATGGAAACGTTCAAACATAAGTGTGTACCCGTGTTAACTTTGCTGGTCAGAAAAGGTGAGAAACGGCGAAGCGAAAATATATTTGAAAGAGAGAAATCCCAAGAAAATACTTTCGAATAAGACGAGTTTTTGAGACTGAACATTTTTTGAAGGTTGTACATTTTTTTAGTAGCTATATTTTGTCATCAGACCGAATGATGCATGTGATATACACTATGTCAAGTATTGTATTTTATTTTTATTTTGTCTACCTGAAATTTTCTAGTACAATTTCCGGTGCTGCAAATCACTACTAACAAACTACATGTATATTTCTCGTGTATGATATAATGAGCAATTTTACCATGAGCTCGAATCAGTACAGAAAGTGAACTGATATTTGGCGAGCAACTCGACTAATCAGATTGTGGAATAGCTCATATATAGCGGATGTCTATACATTATATTATATCCTTTATTAGTTTTGTACGTGAATTATTATACTTTGCGTTGGTAAAGAACTCTTCGAAGTTACGAGAACATTCCATTATTTCGAAGAACAAAGACAAAAGAGCAATTCAGAATTTCTTAGTAACTAGTAGCTGTTAAGAATGATCGGTTTAATCTGACAGAGTGTATATTGTTATTTATTGCAATATGATTATAAAGCACACAGTATTCAAAAGTGCATTCATTTTGCCTTTACGTGAAGAACGGTCCTTGAAATTTGCAATGTTGATTGACATAATTGTTACATTTCCTGTTCTTTAGATTCAAATTCGTTGTCATCTTGCAATGACTTGAGTCCAGCGGCATCCCTCTATAATAGTCCTGGTGTTCTCAACGGAGCAACATCACCACCCGTGCGAAGGCGAGCGAGGTCAACTGGACAGTTTGGAACATTGCGGTAAGCTTGTGAACTAACAGTAAGGCCATTTCCACTCCTTGAAAAGATGAGATTATCTAGTGTATTTGTTTTCGTCTCTCAATGGACATCTAGCGATAACGATTTCGATCTCTACAACATATTTAAAGCTTATTCAGTTTAGGTTTCCTCCTGTAGTAACCATGGATCGGTGAGGATTGCCCTTACTGCACTTCTGGAAAGGACAGTTTAAGACTGACAGGGTTATTCAGTATAATAATAAAACATAAAACAATGGATTTTTATTCTTTACGTTTCGACTACTGTATAATTTAAATCATCTTCAGAAGAATGCCTGAAGATGACTTAAATTACAGAACGATTTTGTATCTTTCCTCAATTTTTTTAAAAAAATTTTATTCAGTATAAATAAAGTTGGTCAGTTTAGTTTAGCTTGCTTGTAAAACTATCGAATTTCGTTGCGATGTTACTCACGGAGGAATCAACAATTCTCAAGATATGTACTGTACATTCTTGAGTCATCCTGCGTGACCAACTCCATGGCTTTAATAATTCTCTATCTTTCCCCAATTTTTAATTCAGAATGAAACCTTGGAGACGAGACTCGATGAATAAGAGTAAAAAGTCTCTGCAACCTTCTCCTGTTCCGCGCAACACAAGAATCTCGGGAGGAGGAAGTAAAAAGCTGCAGGTTTGTGCGAATTGTAGTTCCTTATTCATTTTATCTGTTGGCTTCCTCGTATAAAATTAGAAATAATTATTCCTGACACCTTTCTCGTAGGTTGTTGTGGAACAGTTCTTATTGCAAGTTGTAGCAGACTTGCAACAAACTTGCAGCAGACTTGTAGCAATGCTGTTCCAACAACTTGTCAACAGGATGTGTTCGCACTGCTGGTCCCCAGCTTGTTGGCAAGTTTGTTGAGCTCAACGGACTTGTTACTTGCAATCGTCCTGCCATTCAACAATTTGTCAACAAGTTGGGAGTGACAACCTTGTAGCAACGTGATAAAATGACAGCGTTGTTACAACTTGTTGACAAGCTTGCTACAAGCCTGCTGCGAACACATCTTGTTGACAAGTTGTGAGATTTTTACGTGTGTGCGTCGTTTCCCTGCAGTACAACAACAGTAGGAACGATTAAGAACTGATAGAGCTTTCCAGTACAAGCAAAAAGGTAGTTCAGGGTAAAATTTTTCCCCTTATGAAAAATCATTTGTTTTATAGGCTTTACTTGGCGCCAGTGAAAATGACATCGATCTTTTAATGAAGACAAAAAATTCGCCAGTGTCGGGTTCACCACTCAAGGTAATATATTTTCTGTACAACTGTAATTTTCATGAATCGAGTGTTCTCCTTCTTGGCAGCAAAATTCAGGAATAAAGTATTCCTTTGTATGCCATTAATATTTCAAATTTCCTGCGACACTTCGTCGCCAAGAAGGCTGTTAAGGGGTCTATTAATTTAATCGCGTTTAAAAAACAAAGTAATTATCTGTTGTTCGAATGGATAAAAATAACAAATGTTTCCTGCAATAGACAATTCCCATTATAGACTAATTTTAAAACTGGGCAAGGAGATGCAAATAAATCACCACAGCTAGAAAGAGCATACTAAAATTAGTAAGTTTGCAAAGTTTGGTTGCGAAATGTTGTAAAATGCGGAAAATATAGCCTTGCAAAGTTTGCAAATTTTGTATACTTTTGTATTGCGTGCGGAAATTGCTACCATTTTCGGCCCAAATGTGGTAGGAATGTGGTAGGAATTTCGCACGCAATACAAAAGTATACAAAAATTGCGAACTTTGGAAGGCTGTATTTTCCGCATTTTACAACATTTCGCAACCAAACTTTGCAATTTTACTAATTTTAGTATGCTCTTTCTAGCTGTGGTGATTTATTTGCATCTCCTTGTCTAGTTTTAAAATTAGTCCATAATGGGAATTGTCTATTAATATACTGAAATTTCCTGCGAGCAGCTACTTATAGAACGAATTCTGTATATACAGGCTGTTCATAAGAATTTGCTACCAGCTTGTTGTCATCAACTTCTTAACAACTTGTTACGTGCAGACGATATCAGATTTGCTGGAACAACCTGTTGGCGAGTGTGTTGGCCTCGTCAACCGTGTTACAAGATGATAACAACTTATGAGATTCTTATGCGTATAGATGAAGTTTATCCCAAAATTAACTATCATAAAATAAATTTTGTGTGAAACTTTGTAATGGTGTTGAGGAGCAAATACTTTCCTACAGTGAGCTCTGAGACATTCACCCAATCAAATTTTATTTTCCAGAATGCCGGCTCTTTGGAGGAAGACCTAGCCCTACCCGAAGAACCCGACGGTCAGTTGGTTGCGGAAAATGGAAGTAACGGATCAACGGAAATAATTCACGACGAGATGGAGGAAATACGGCGGAGTAAAGAAAGTTTACAAAGCAAGGAAAGTTTACAGAGCAAAGAGAGTTTGGCAGAAAGTAATGAAAGTTTATTAAATGACGAAGACGCTGTGAAAAGCAATGGCGTCGATGTCGAAGAAGGAGATACGAAAGATGGCGAGAGTCAGGAGGACAAGGAAGGTGTTGCACTCAAGAAACGAATGTGAGTATTGATTAAAGTGGCACTGTCATTAAAATTTTTATTTTCTTAAACGAAAATGCTCTTAATTATAGTAACTTCTTTTGAAGATTTTTGTTCCCATGTTTAGTTCTTCGGATTCATTTTGTTTGTAACCATGCATGTGACGTCATTTACCATTATATATGTATTATATATGTAGTTGAGTAAATGACGTCACATGGTTTCAATAATACAATCACATATACATAATTTGGAAACTTTGCAAGGCTATATTTTACAAGCTTTACAACATTTCGCAACCAAATTTTGAAATATTACTAATTTCATTATGTTTTTTTAGCTGCGGTATTTGATTCCCTTCTCTTTACTTAGATAAAACCCTATAGGGTATAGTGTATTCATGTATAGTATAATCATGGACACGTTTTTCATAACAAAATTCCAGCATTGTTTCCCAGCCAGCAGAAGATTGTACATCTTTCTGCCTGCAGAAAATTACACATCTTTGTGTCTAAAATGTTGTCGTTGCTTTTCTTCAGGTATGTTATCAAGGAACTCATTCATACGGAACAAGATTATGTTACGGATCTTGAATCAGTTGTCGAGGTAAATGTTTTATCACAATTACTTGCAGATTGCACACATTAATTTCTTAGGCTCTTAATGTATGGCTACTTACACTTACTCTGACAAAAGCTGAGCCAGCTGACATGACCATTGTATGTTTTTCAAAAGGGTTACATCCCAGAAATGTCAAAAGATGACGTTCCCGAGGAGCTCAAAGGAAAAGAACGAGAAATTTTTGGAAACATGAGGCAAATCCTTGAATGGCACAAAAGGTAGGACTTTATTTAATACTAATCATTTTGATATTATATTCCCAAGGCACATTCAATATGATCAATTTAAACTTTCATTTATGTAATTGGTGATAATTCATAATTCCATATATCTTCTAGCTTCTTTTGCAACGAACTTGAAAAATGCGAAGATGCACCTGAACGTATCGGGACCGTTTTCCTTAAAGCAGTAAGTTTTACCTTGAAAAGAAAACGCTTCCACGTTTAAAGTGCGATTAACCCCAAATATAGTTTTTGGTATGTGTAATATTTGGGTCATTGTAAGAAGAAATGTAATGTATCTTTATAGTAAAAAATCTCATCTTGATCAACTTTTTCACTGTCAAAGATTCCGGATATGATGTCATTAGGTGAATTTGTGGTACAAGAAAACAAAGGAAATCTAATTTGAAATTCACCTAATGACATCATATCTGGAAACTTTGACAGTGAAAAAGTTGGGATTTTTTATTATAAAAGATATATTACATTCCTTCTTCGAATGACCTAAATATTACACATACAGTACCAAAAATCATATTTGTGGTTAGTCGCACTTTAAAGCGAAGACCCTTCGACACAAGTTTAACATCCTTCGTGAGAGTATCAATCTTTTGGAAAAGGGATTTCGCTCAAAACTTCAGACCCAAACCATGCGCAACAGCTCTGTACCATCACTGGGCTACAACTTTTTAACTGGGCTACCACGTTTAAATATTTAAGTGCCATACTTTTCCCTGCAAGTAAGTCGATATTTTCCATTCTGACTCATTTTTTTCGTCCTCCTTAGGCCAAACGGTTAGAAATGTACATCCATTATTGTCAGAAGAAACCAAAATCTGAAGGTCTTGTCCGAGAATTTGAGGACACCTATTTCCAGGAATTGAAAACGCGTCTTGGTCATCGCTTGGCTCTCTCGGATTATCTAATTAAACCTGTTCAGAGAATCATGAAGTATCAACTTCTACTCAAGGTAATGTTATAAAGTTGAAATTATCATTGTTAACCAAGATAACGACCGTTAGAATTAGGTCAGTTTTTAGAAAAGTTTAGTTCAGGAAAATGTTAACACGACTTTTTTCTTCTAGGATATATTGAAATACACAGAAAGAGCGAATTTGGACTCCACCGACCTCAAGGTAGGAAAGACAAGCGTATTTTTTGGTATTCTCCTCTTCTTTTTCTACAGTACAGTATATGCTAGTCGGTCGATGTACGGTTTAGATGGATGATAAAACGAGAAACAGCCAGTGGAATGGTCCGTGGGCTTATCATTCTTGCTCTTCTGCATTGGCTTCGCTGAATACCATGCACCTAAACTTGAAGCAACTAAACTAATTAAAGTCGTAGTTTTTGCATTTGAGCCTTTTTCAATTAGAGCAAAACGGTCCAGAAAAATACATAATTGAACAGCGTGGACGAAAACACGCATTGTTATAGTATTAAAAGTATTCTGTTGCAGTTATTGATTTGATTAACATTTATTATATTGACAGAGTGCGTTGGACATAATGCGAGTAATTCCGAAGAAAGCAAATGACATGATGAACGTTGGGATGCTTGAAGGCTATTGCGTATGTATCACTGTTGACCATGCATGTACTTAGCTGGGATTTTAGATTTTGGGAGTGTTTCTAAATTTCCAGTTTGTATACTTGCCAATTACCCAGGATAGCTAAATAATTCTGTTTCTACTAATATTTCTCCAGGGGAACGTGAAGGCTCAAGGTGACCTTATCTTACAAGATATCGTTCAAGTCACTGACCACAGGGCGAAAACGAAGCCGGCCAAAAGACGTGTGTTTGTTTTTGAACAAATGATTATATTCAGTGAACCTTTTGAACGAAAGAAGGATTGGACTGTGTTTATTTATCGACATAGCATCAAGGTAAGCACAGATGTGGTACTTTTTGTGTACGTACTCAGGTGAAGATGATGCTTGTGGTGTTACTCTGAGTGTGCATCCACACCGGGCAAGCTGAAGGATTTGCCTGACCATGGTGGGAAGTGATCTGATGCGTTTTTAATTCCAGACCAACTTCATGGGTGTGACGGAAAGCTACGGTGACGATCCATGTAAATTTGCAATCTGGACCCACCGAAGCACGAGTGAAATTTACATATTGAAAACAGAAACACCGGAAGACAAAGTCAAATGGATCAAGACATTAAAACAGTTGCTGGAACACTTGAAACAGTTTGCAAACGGTAAGATTGCATGCAAGTCAATGGAGATATGCTGAGCAATACTAAACGTATGTGGTGTATAATTCAATGCTAGCGCTCTTCCACGCTATTTATTAATCTCAAAATTGTTAAAATTTTAATAGATCCTAAAGTGTCTTTGTTTTAATCGTAACTATTTGTTTGTTTTAAACTTCAGAGGATGAAGAAGAGAATTATAATGATTTTTTAAACGAACTAAATGATAATGATGAAGGTGGGATATCGTAAACTCAATAAAATATAAAATAAATTCAAGAATAATAGAAACCAAAAACAGTTTGAATAAATAAAGGAAGAGCCAAACAAACCGACACGAAGAAAATAAACAAACAAACAAACAAACAAACAACGAAAATCCAACGGTAAATAGTAAACACTAAAAACAAAACAACTTTCAAACAAATAAAACAAAAACTTATTTAAACTTTTGAAAAAATTTACACAAAAAATTCAGAAATAGATAAACAAATAGACAGGGCTGACTTAAAAAGACTTTGAACAACAAGCTGTAGTAAATAATAAACAGAAGTATAAACAATAACCAATTTGCAAATAAAAACATTGATGTCCTAAACAGTTATGAAACAAATATTTTGCTCATTAGTTGTCTTTATAAATGGGCCAACTTGTAAAACTTTTTTATACTGTAAAAGATAAAGGTAACCGGGTTATGGAGTTGCTAAACATGCTGAATAAAACTGAATTGATTTCTGCATTTCGTGTTTGAATTAAATAATAATTATTCGTTTTTCAGCCCTTGTTAATCCGATTGAATACCAAGGTGGAAACGCTGATCCTTTGGGGATTAATAGGTACGTTTGTAGGTTTACTATTATTTCTCATAAGCTTATCGAGTGTTCTCATATGTACATTATTATCCATTTAGTGTTACGACTTCGGAAGGCCAGGTTACCCCGCCGGCTGTAACTGAAGAAAATTCTCGAAATAGTCTCGCCGCTCCAAGCGAAGTCATTCGACGTCATAGTTCTGCAACTAAGGTAAATGAAATTTTATATTTTATATATAGTTACCGTAGAATTCCGAAATAGAAGGCCACCGTTATACAGGGTTCACTACTTTCCAGAGGCGGGGTTACGGACCCGAAAAGTCGTGTTTTTTTTCCGGGCGCCCCGGTTTCCTCGCACAGGGAAAATTGACAGGGGAGGTTAGGACTGTGGTTAGGATAAACATAGTTAGGAAAGTAATATCACAATTGTTGTGTAGATAAAATAGTCTACACAGCTAAAGACGATAAGGTTGTTGCAATATTGATGAAAACAGGATTGAACAGTGTTGTGCTGCCCGCATTGTTCACAGTTGTCAACAATATTGAACAATATTGTCACACCCAATTCAAGCTCAACAATATTGTTCAATATTGTTGACAAGTGTGAACAACGTGGGCAGCAAAACATTGTTCAATCCTGTTAAATAGCGGGCTCAGTGTTTTTAGCCGTGTAGGCTAAGTACAGTAAGTAATATATAAATAAGCGTAATACTTGATGTAATCGGTCACTGAAAAGCCCCAATGGGGAGTGAACTGAATAATTAATTATAATCATCATCACTTTCGAAATGTTAAGTACATCAATGACAGGAAAAATCAGTAACATAGTGAGAAACGTTTTGTGGAATGTACGAAAGTACAAGGTACTATATATCAATGTGTTTTATAAGAAATGAATAGTATAAATTATAAATATTATTACTTTCAGACGATGAGTGCGCCGACGCCGAACCAAGTGAAACATTTTAGTCTGATTCCTCTTCATACGGCGAAAACGTTAGAAGGACTGACAGGAGCTTTTTCCGAAGCGGTATGTTCTTTGAATTGTTTTTGGTCTACAGAGAATCTTTGCAAGCTCGTTTCAACAACCTGATATCAGGTTGTCTTCGTACTGACAAGTTGTATGGACAGTAGCATGCTTGCTACAAGGTTGATGGCCAGTGTTCCAACAAGTTGTTACCACCTACAATTCAGACCTTACTCAGGGTGCCCGATGTTTTTCGACCCTCACAAAAAAGACTTCATATTTTAAATTTTAAATAGGCTTCATATTTTGCAACCCCGAGTATTTAAACCTAAGCTGTCGAGAATTGTATTTTGCCTCGGGTGAATTGGGCGATAAACGAAAATAAAATAATAGTAGACGCATCTTGATTTACGTGCATGTGTTCAGTTTTGACCTCTCTCTCCGTTCTTTGTAGAGAGGGAAGGATAAATACATCGCCACCTCCGACTACAAATCGAAAGCAAAAGACCAAATATCCGTGAAGAAAGGCGACATTGTCTACGTCGTGTCGAATAAGAAACACGACAAGAAATGGTTATATGGTCACGTCGCTGGAATTGAAACTCTCGGGCTGGTCCCGGTACGTGTTTTACACAAGGAACCGGATGAAAATCACGTCAATGAAGACGGTAAGGAACACGAGGATAGAGGAAATACCCTTCAGCACGGGCCCTTCTCCAGGGTTCGGTAGTTCGAAGCTGGATTAACGCTAACCCTGGCTTACAATTTGATCTGTTCTGACCATGGCCCTGTTCTATTTTTTTATAGATTTGATCCAAAACGGACCTGACAAATCAAAGTTAACTCGCAAACACAGTTTCCCGTAAGTAAACTTTATATAAAACAAAAAAAAATACTCCGAACAGAAGCACCTTGTCAGGGTGCGATAATTCAAGATTTAAAGGCTGTTTACCACTTCAACCGTATCGTAACGTACCGTACCGTAGCATTTTCTTTTGTGTCGAAGTCATTAATAGTTCCATACTGTCGCTCAGGAAATAAACTGGCTTTAGTTGTTACTTCAGGTGGTACAAATGCAAGACTTAGGTGCACGGGTTTCTGAAACGTATTCATTTAGTAAAGAAACCTAGCGATTTAGAAGAAGAAGCACAATTGCATATTGCTCGTTTGCAATCGACGCCATCTTGGTTGATATTCGTGGCAACTAAAAATCTATATTCTTCATTCTTTGTCGTATTGTGCCAGAAATCGTAAACTATCCATAATACAGTAAGATGTTTTCAAAACAAACCCGAACTATTAAAGTAACTTAACTATTTCGATGTAAACGGCTGGACAAAACTTTAAAATCAACCAAGATGGCGCCTAATGACACGTACTGTTGTGACGTCACGTGCAAACAAAGAATACAAACACTTACAATCGACTCCAACATTTCTTGTCCCATCAGCCCAATCATGGCTTGTTTTGTATGTCTCGGAGTTGAGATTGGAAAGTCCGTATAACATTATTGGTATTATTAGAATTACAAGTACTCGAGCTAATCTTAAAACTTGCTTCCTCTTTCTAGGAGTAACGCTTTACGACGTGTGACGCAGAAAAAAACAAAACAAGATTTCTTTAGCCATATTTCATTACAATTACGAGACAGCATCGAGAAATTTCAAAGTGATTTAAGCGCTGACACGTGTCCGGTGGAAGGTGAAACCGAGCATGTAAGTTCAGTTTTGAAATTCTGTAAATTGACAGACTTCTAGGAATCTCAGGAATAGAATTTACTGTGTATTAGGCAATTCAAAACTACTTTACAAAGTTGTTACCTGACAGTCCTGAGAGAATGCTTCAACGAAGAAGATTCGGAGACATGTAGGACTATATATGTCTGAAGTGTAACACTAGTCGTTACTCGTGTTCTAAATTAACTTGTTGTTTTTAGTCGCCTGTCCATGTACTGTACTGTGTTATTATTGTGCGTATTTTTGTATAAAGGACCCACAGTAATTGGTTTACATTGTTGTGGTGTCCCTGCCATTCTTGTCCATATTTATTGTCTAGATGTCTATTTGCTGTTCTGTTACGTGTTTTTGCCAAAGTTTAATAAATGAATGAATGAATGAATGCTATTTCATAGTTTATCATTTTTGTTTGAAGTTAAATGTGTATTTTTCTTCGTTTTTAGTTGCCAAATGGGACTGCTGTTAAAGAAAGTAAGTTTATGTGTAAGTCATTGTTGTAATAGGAAGAATTTCTCTGCTACCGTTATACAGAGGGCAAAAGATCGATACTCGAGCTCAAACTTTCTCTGTTTCGTTACTGTCAGAAGGACTGTGAATATTTACTTCCAAAGTGGAACGAAATTTACAATATTTTCAAATAAGTGTGAAATCAACTACGCGTTAATATCAACCCATTGAGCGCCAGGGCTCTCCCCTTGACGAGTAAAATCATCTGACGTTAGACAGAGTAAAATATTTTAGTAAGGCGCATTTGGGTGCAATGCAAGTTAATGGGTTAACCAGGCACATGGGCAGATAAGAACATCAAATCGTAGGTATCTCGGATCCCTTATCAATTGGGTAATAGCCGGCTCTGTTGGGAATTCCGCTCACCAATTAGTAAGAAACTCGATAAACTTAACAGATTGATTAACCCATTGAGCGTCAGGGCTGTCCCCGTACGTTTTACGTAATATATTCAAATTAAATATTTTGTTCTTTAGCGAGTCCGCGTTGGCGTTTAGAACTCCGAGACGCAGTTATCAACCGTCCTAACACCTTGAGACTATCCTGCGAGGTCGTGGGGAACCCTAGTCCGACTGTTCAGTGGGAGAAGGACTCTAAATCGATCACCGCCACGGATCGTGTTAAGATCACGCAAGAGTCGCAACGCAGCACGCTCGAGATCACGACCAGCGCGTTTGAAGATAGCGGTGTTTACACGTGTACCGCGGTGAACGAACACGGTCACGTGACGACGTCTTGTATCGCGCAAGTTCGAGGTAATTTGAATAAATAAGTTGTCTTTCATATACTTTACTGCTAAAGCCTGGTTCACGATAGCAATTTTGTCGGCGATCTTGTGTTTCTGACAGATGCAAATGAGTGAACTCGCACACAAAAGTATAGAGTCACTTTTCAGAAGTAAACAATTCTAAGTCTTTTTCATGTCATTCGTTCCATCACATTTGCCAGGAGACGAAAAATCGCCGAATGAACCAGGATTAAGGACTCTTTTCCACTCATTGCAAGTTCGCTGCGAGTGTTTGCATATCATTAAATCACACTGTCGAGCATTGTGATTGGTTGAAAGAACTCTCAAAAAGGTTGCGAGTTCATTCTTGCAATGAATGAGAAAGAGGCTTAAGTCTATCTACACTGGATATAGCTCTACCAGAATGCACCAGTTCCTAATATCGAATATCCCTTGTGGATCCAAAGTTTTAGTAACTACAGGAAAAGTCTGAACTTAACTGACTTTATTTTGACTGGATAGCTTTGTCAGTTCTAAATTGTTCTCTCCAGAATGCCAGAAATGGTGAAAATCTGAAAGTCTGCGGTGTTTGGTAGAGTCAAACTAAAAGCACTCCGGTTTATCAAACAAGTTCCCGATGTAGGAGTCCCAAACAAATTGTCTCTGTAATATATGAATATGTGTTGAAATTTTTTTAAGGGATCATTTCCTCTATATAAGTGTTCGTACCATCCTCAACGGGCATCGCGTAACTTTTCTATAATTCTGCATTCTACCTCTGCCATTTGTCTCACTAGATACATCTGCTCCATACATATTAGCACTGTTCTTATTACTCTTTATCTTATCAGACTTGGAAAAAGTGTTTAAAGAATGTGTGTCAACCGTCCTGCTTTACAAGCTCAAACCTACTTCACGGCCGTTTTAATGGCCGACTAATAGAGGTTTCTTTTTCAATCCATGATATATTTCAAACATCCTATGGGTACACTTGCTCATTTTAATTTATTTATACTGAAAATGCACTGAAGAAATAGTTTCCATTGTCATTTGTTGCTATTGAATCACCGCCCAAGGTAAGATGTAAACAATAACAATGAGGTTGACACTTGACACACATTCTTTGATGTTCCTCGGATCCTGAACTTTTTTAATTGCACCTGAAAAGTGTGTAAAAACAATGGAAAATTTGACCGTACATTGTATACAATTGTGCATTATAATGCAAAGTATACTCGATTGTATTTGTTACATATCGCAAATGACGGACAATGAAGTATGATTAATCATTCCTTGAGATTTTCCCATGACGTGTTTGTGAAAGATTGAAATTGTTCCTCAATGTACCTCAGGATCCGGGATCCCACCTCTTTCCAGCTCTGCATCTCAAATGGTATAACGTAAATGCTACATACCCCGTTCTTGTTTCAGATAAACCTTCATCGCCCTCCAAACCGTCCGTCACCGAGATCACATCTTCGTCAGTCATCGTAAAATGGAATCCACCTGCGAGCGATGGCAACAGTACCATAACCGCGTACACGGTCGAATGTAAGGAGACTGGGGTTAGTCATTGGCAGGCACCAGTCCCTTTCGTGTCGACTACATCCACGGTCGTCGATGATCTCACTCCAGGTTCAGTGTATCAGTTCAGAGTCAGTGCGAACAACGTGGTGGGCATTAGCAAACCCAGTCCCCCGACGGAGTCGATCACGCTTGATATCGGTAATGGTGAGTGCTCGTATTTTTGTTTTGTTTCAATTTTACCAGGGTTAGAGTGGACCACAGACCATCCTTTTGTTATGTAGTTCGGTTATATTTTCGCCTTGGTTATGCGAGAAGAATGGTTTCGGTTTAGCCCTACCAAACACCGCAGGCTTTTTTGAATTTCTTGTGGCCCTTATGGAGACCACAGAATAGACAACTTGCAGAGACCGACTTTCTGGTTTTGCCTATGATTACGAGAGGCATTCGCCCCCTGAAAATCTTCAAAATGACGGACTTTCAGGGGGGTGAATGCCTTTCGTAAGCGCGCTAGTCGATCTTCTGTAAGATGTCTATTCTGTGCTGCAGGGAGAACAGTTTAGAACTGGTCAGTTTTCCTTCTGCAGTAACACTAATGCAATAACTAATACGGGATGGCCCATACTGGACTTCTTGGGAGAACAGTTTGGATCTGATACAGCTATCTTGTGCTGTGCTATCCAGTGTAGCACAGTTCACACAAATCTATTGTTCAATCTTTTGAAATTCACACGTCTGTCCGAAATTTGATGATCTCAATAGATGTGCTGTACTGCACGAACGCTTTCTCCTATCTTGTATCTATCTGCTAGTATGCCCACACATAAATATAAAGGCATCTTACTCAATATAAATTATGCAGACGGTTGCGTGCTTGATCGAATGCTAGATCCAATATATCGTTGTCACATTTTGGCTCTGGAAGGTTTCACAACAGCTGTCGTATTGACAGATTGTTTACTCAGTGCTATACATATTATAATTTCATATTCATAACACCTGCGGTTTATAATTGCGGCGTCGTACTGGGTTAATATCCAAAGCACAGGGTATTATATCATCCAATATTATATATGTTCACTATATTTGTTTCCCTTTTAGAAAAACGAGCTTTATGATACACGTTCACTTTTCACCAAAGAGGCGAAGAATCGTTTCGATTATGAGTCACTGTACACTACTCGCTTACTCCAACGAATTTAAACACAGGAACTAAACGCCACTAAATGGAATAATGACTAACATTAATTTGTAACAATAAGATGTATTGCTATATAAACTGTATAGAACTATATTATATTTATATACAAAATAACCTGTAAATATATTGGAATTGGTTTCATCAATAAATCTAATCTCAAGGAAATCTAAATCTGTTGAAAATTATAGTATTATTGTTTTGATATCCACAGCTCGCCTTGTTTGAGTCAAAACCACAAGGCACAATACTAGATTGGATGAGACAAGCCGGTAAATTATTAATTATATTAGTTGTCAGCGTTTCTTTGTATACAGTAGACACACAAAGCACTGCTAATTTTCCAAACCCAATGTCTGGCTTTTTGTTTTCAAGTAAATAAAAGATTACCCTTTAAAAAATAACTGGTGTGCAGCACTTGCATTGAATAAAACAGTGTTAACCAGTATTAGGCTAGACTTGAACTAAAAAAAACAGTTAATGTTTGTTCTTGTCGAGGAAAACATTTCAAACCCCGTGTACATTTTGAGTGCAATATTGGTTCACAGTTGACATGACCGCCCCATCATTCATAATTATTACTAAACTGGCATAAATTTTCGACACAAAAGTACCGAAAGTGCAAATTATGTACAGTGGTTGACAGTAATTATTCTGTTTCAAGTAGGCTCGAAATCAAATCAAACAAAACAACGTCACGCCATTGGATTCCGGTGCAGATTTCCTTCAATGTTTAACCGTTTGTGGGACTTTTTGAGGCTTTGAAACATGATAAACCTTCAGTTTCTTAAACGAAGACATTCCTATGGTGTTTCCCTGTTCCTTTTGGGGCAATGGTCCAGATATTTTTCAGCAAGGCGAGCTGTGGTAGTGTTAAAAAGTTAATGAATTTAAATTAATGTCATAAGTTTACATGTTAAACAGTCAAACAGCGGCATCCGTCTTGACCATAAAAAGCAAAAAACGAAGGTAAACACTAATTAATGTTTAAATAAATTTAAATGAAATAACTATATAAACATAAATTTAAAATATTAGTCGTTAAATAAATTCGGAAGTGTTTTAAAAACGACGTAAAGTGATAATTGTGATTTGTTATGACAACAAAGTATAGTTTGCAATGTTGGACTTTTCACTTGATGCTAAAGACTGAAGTATATGCAATCTTTTACAGTAAAAATACTTTGCTAAAACGTAAAATTATAAAATTAAAAGCTAAGACTAAACCAAAAGCTCCTCAATATCTTAAAATATAGTCATACAAGGAAGTAGTTCAGTACAGTTCCTCAAAATTCAAGACGAAAATAACTTTGTAAAAAGAACGGAAAAAAATCACTGAAAAAAGAGCTCTTTCTACCAAATGCAAATTCCTACCTCTTCTGTCGCATATTATGCATGCACGTCCAATATCGTAAAAATTTACATGCATCTTAAAATTTGCTTTTTATCTTCTTAATCTCATAATTGGTTCCATCTTTTATCTTCCCAGGTAAATTCCATCGAGATTTGGGCAAAGATGCGGTCACGTGGAAGGCAGACATAGACGAATTTCACAACGTCTACGCCGAACTTGGAAGGTAAGGTTCGTTTTGAAATGATAGTGGGTTTCGTGCCTGCCACATGTGGTCGGAAATGAAGAGATATTTCCGACGTTTGGCAATATAGTTCACTTCCGACTGTCAAGTGAAAATATTTACCGAGTCATGAATATTTTAAGACTTTTCTGGCTGAATTAATGCAGATAAATAATCTATAACGATCGGTAATTTCGAGGGTAATTTATCCAATATGCGTAACGATGACAAGCCTAATTCGTATTAATCTCAAACCCGGGCAATTCCTTAATATCTCAAAAGCCGAAAGTTCAAAGGGGGCAATTCTTTAATATCCCAAAGCTGTCGTGGTTTGTGTCTGAACTACACACGAAAAAATCTCACATCTTGTAGCAAGTTTGCCAACAAGCCGTCAACAGGTTGTGTTCGCTCTGCTTGTCCCAAGTTTTGAACAAGATGTTAACAACTTATGACAACCTTGTTGATATTATCAGACTTTGTATTGCAAGGTTGTTGCAACAAGTCCGATACAGTCGTGATAAAACAATATTGTTCCAACCTTGTTTCGTCAACCTTGTAACATTCTTGTTATCTCATGACTGTATCAGACTTGTTAGAACGACCTTGTAACAAGTCTGATCACGCCATCAAGCTAGTTACAAGTTGTTAACAGCTTGTTTTAAACTTGTTGCAACAACTGTTTTCCAAATATAGTCTAAATACAAATATCTTTATTCAGGGGAAGATACTCGGTTGTCAAAAAGTGCGTCGACAAGATAAGCGGCAAGGAATACGCGGCAAAATTAATCAAAAAGCGAATGTGCTCCCAACAAGACGTCGAGAGGGAGGTCACAATATTACGTCGCCTGAAACACCCGAATATTAACATATTCGTGGACTCTTTCGAGAATGATAAAAACTGGATTCTTGTCCTGGAACTTTTACCAAACGGAAGATTATTCGACTCGATCGTTGTCGCGAATCCTTGGACGGAAAAGGAAGCCGTCGGTTTCGTGAAACAAATTCTCGAAGCTGTTCAACATTTACATGACTGCAGAGTAGCACATTTAGACTTGAAAGTAAGTGGATATTTTACTTTCCTGGTATCGTTCTTGTTCATTTTGGATGTAAACCTAAGCTAAATTACCTTTATCTCTAGTGGATAACTCTGTCAGTTGTAAACTGTTCCCCACAGAGGTCCAGTAAGGGCCATCTCTTTCTGCTCCTCGCAATTAGCACACCTGTGATATACAACTTCATGTAACATTCAAAAAGGCATTAATAATTCATGAGAAAACACAAAGAAAAAACATAAACGGTGTCCTACCTTTATATATGATAGAGATTTCCCTTGATTTACATAAACTTTAATACCTTTGATTTTCTCGACTTACACAACATATTTTTTGAAAACTACTTCGCCAATGAACTTACTGGATCGATCGTTTTTGAAGCAATTTAAAACATTCGCAGTGCGTGTTTTATGATAAAACACTGCTGCTCGTGTTTTAAATAATATACTTAAAATGACTGGTTATCTTCTTCGCGCTTTGTGAATTTTAATCTTTTGCCTTTTTTACACCATTCTAGCCTGAAAACCTGTTGCTTGACTGTGGTCCTATACCGAAAGTGAAGCTCGTCGACTTCGGGAGTGCATTTACGATGTCAAACGAAAAGATCATTCCTGATCTTCTTGGCAACCCAGAATTCTCTGGTAAGAAAATACGTTTTGAAAATACGTTTTGTTTCTGGTTGTGTTAACTTGGGTCCCGTTTACATGTGACCGGAACGAAGTCAAACCGAAATGAAAACTGAAATTGTCAACATGTTTACATGAGACCTGTACGAAAATCACAAAATCTTCAATGTATTCCATTGCCAGGCAATTTTCTTTTCTCGATAGCTTTTGTTAGCATATGTTGTTCCAATGTCAAGGTTACAGCCGAGACCGGTCTGAAATGTATTTGTGTTTACATTCTTCCCAGTCTGAATTCATGCCGGTCTGAAGTCAGTCGGCTTGGTCCAGCAGGCGGAATGACTTGAGACTGGTCTGAGTTATTTTCGTCCCGCGGTCTCATGTAAACATCTATTACAAATAATACTATGACCGAAACGAAAATGTCCCAGTTTGACTTCGTTCCTGTCTCATGTAAATCTCATAATCAGACTTTCCAGACTATTGCTTTTCCCCCAGTTTTTTTAGTTCTTGTATCTTTCCTCCTTATAATGTCTGATGATTCCATTGATCTAAAAACTGTGAGCCAAATGGTGTCACTTTCCTATAAAGAACTTTGTTTGCATGTGTTTCGTCTGTTGCTATGTAGTTAATGTCTGATATTCTCTGTTCTAGCTCCAGAAGTTATTCGTGGATTGGCTGTTAGCATTGAAACGGATGTCTGGTAAGAATTTAATCCATTGAGTGTTCTAATTAGTGTCTTACAGTTCAGTTCAGTACAGCACAATACAATAGAAATCTAACTCGTTTTCCTCTTTTTCATTTTAGGAGTATTGGTGTTATCATTCACGTCATGTAAGTACTTTTGTGTTTTGTACCACTACTTTTCCCAGCTGTAATAAGTTTGAAACAAGTTTTTCCTGAATCACCTATTCTTCCTCGAAGTCCAGCAACTGTCATCACCTAAATCTGAGGTGTTTGGCAAATTCAAAACACTCTTATACCACATACAACTGAGGTGCAACTATAACCAGAACTCTGAATATTACATGAATCGAATACCAACCACAGCGATAAAACCGTGAAAGGGAAATCCACTAACCACTTGTTTTTCCCTCATTCTTTTCTAAGGGCGCTTTCCATTAACACGGCCAGAACGGTCAAATTGTTGATTGGAACACAAAACATTTGGGCTTCGGACCTATCTGAGCGGAAAATTTAGATAACATAAGAATGAGGTCCATTTTCGCTAGATATTTGAGAAACATAGACCAGATCTTTCCATTGATACAGAGAAAAGAATTTGCGTCTGAAAAATGGAAAGCGTCCTAAGTACTGTAGTTTAATCTTGTGACTTATACCATTATTTTGCCAATCCTCACAGGCTAACGGGAGTATCTCCATTCTACGACGAACACTTGCAAACAATGTGTGATAACATATCTAAAGTGAACTGTGATCTGGACGCAGATTTCATGACAAATATCTCAACCGAAGCCAAAGCTTTCATCAAACGACTACTCATTCGTGAGCAATGGTAGGTTGAGAATGATCTATTTTCGAATTCTATCTTAAGAGATCATGTTTTGTACGGCATGGTACACATATTGTACACCAACAGATGGTCAACAACTTGTGTTCGCTCTGCTGTTCCCAGTTGTACAGTACAAGTCTGGAACAAGTTGTTATCATCTTGTGTCAAGGTTGATGAGCTCAACAGACTCGCAGCAAGTTGTTCCAATAAGTCTGATAATCGTACGCACGTAACAAGTTGTTAACAAGTTCATGACAACAAGCTCGTAGCAATTTGTTACGAAGAACCTGTATTAGTCTTGTTAGAACAAATTGCAGCAAGTCTGTTACCATCATCAACCTTGTAACAAGGTGATAAACAACTTGTTCCAGACTTGTCACAACAACTGGGGACATAATGTGAACATATCCTGCTGTCAGCTTGACAACAATCTTGTTACAACTTGTTTGCAGATATGCAACAACTTGCGCGTTATTACGTGTGTGGTTTACACACGCAAAAATCTCACATCTTGTAACAAGTTTGTCAACAAGTTGTCTTCGCACTGCTTGTCACAAGTTGTCAACAAGTTTGGAACAAGCTGTTAACAATTTGTAATAGCCTTGTTGACATTATCAGGCTTGTAACAAGGTTGTTCCAACAAGTCCGATGCAGTCATGATATAGCAGCATTGTTACAACCTTGTGTCGTCAACCTTGTAACATTCTTGTTTATCATGACTGTATCAGACTTGTTAAAACAACCTTGTAACAAGTCTGATAATGCAATCAAGCTTGTATACAAGTTGTTAACAGCTTGTTCCAAACTTGTTACAACAACTGGGAACAAGCAGTGCGAAGGCAACTTGTTAACAGCTTGTGAACAGATTTGTAACAACTTGTTTGCAGACTTGTAACAACTTGTTTGTTTTTACGTGTGTAGTCCTGCATCTGCTAACCTATGGCTCTTACTGAAACCCGTCAATACCAATCAATTGTTCTAATTTACAGGACGTGCATGTCATAAACTTAATGTTTGCTGTTTTGTAGGAGACGACCGGAATGCAGTGACTGTTTGGACTTCAGGTGGATGAAGGTATGAACTTTATTTAATTATTTATACTGAATAGCTCGGTCAGTTCTGAACTGTTCTTCCAAGAGGTCCGGTAAGGGCATTGTCTTAATTGAAGAAAACGTGCATTGTTGGTGTCGGCATACCCGTGAGATGAAATTATATTCAGACAACTGTATGTTGTAGGAGTCTAAGATCTGTTTCAAACGTCGAATTTTGGTCGCGTCGAATGCATTTAAGACAATAGATAATGAGATGATAAACCTTATTAAGCTTCATTATCTATTGTTTGAATCGCATACGACGCGACCGAAATTCGACGTATGAAACAGGCCTGAGGCCCGTTTCAAACGTCCTGCTTCTCTTCGGCCAAATGGTTAACAACAATAGATAATGAGGCTTCTCAACTGATGTATCTATTGTTTTTAATGCGTTCGGCACATGAGAAGCACGACATTTGAATACTGGCCTAAGCCAAGACATACAAACAGTTTTTGATAAGCAAACCATTGTACAACCAACATGTTCAATCCGTCGTTTTCAACATGCTCATGTTAGCGTTTTTGTATTCTTCTAGATGATATCAACGCGTTCTCCGTTCCCTGTTCCTGTAACTCGACTAAACACATCACGTCTGGCCTCGTTCAACGCAAGGCGGAGAAAAAACCAGGTAAATACTATAATACTTATTATCCCAATGTAATCACCGAAATCGTTGATCCAAAACACTTTGGCCATGCAGTTTTAGTGAAAGATAAAGTTGTGCTGTTCTTCCTACAGGTCTGGTAAGAGCCACCGTTTTCCAGTCTTACCACAGGGGAAACCGTAGTCTACTTGGAGAAACCTGCTGTGTTTGCTATAGCCAAACTGAAAGCTTTCTTCTCACATCCGACTAAGACGATGCAGTACCATCATAGTACTTCAGCCAGGCCCGCCCGCTTCAAATAGAGGCCCTGCTTTGCAGGCTACCATAGAAATGTTCCTGAATTGTTCTATTCTGTTTTTCAGCACGAAGTCACTAATATCCGACCTTTACTTCTAACTGAGAAGGGAGAATCAAATGTATGATAATATAGGTGAGTTTAAAAATTTTACTTCTCATGTTACTGAAACACTATTGGCACAGATCACATGAGTACCTGAGTTTATCACAGATTCAGCTTCATAATTCCGCTTCGTTAAGGCTTGGGCAAACTAGAAAACAATGTTTTCTAGAAACTAGAATGTTTTCTGGAAACTAGAAACAATGTTTTCTAGAAACTAGAATGTTTTCTGGAAACTAGAAAACAATGTTTTCTAGAAACTAGAATGTTTTCTGGAAACTAGAAAACAATGTTTTCTGGTTTGTCTACCTTCGGGAAGCATGGCTAGGAAACAATGTTTCCTTAGGAAACATGGCTAGGAAACAATGCTTCCTGGTTTGCCCACCTTCCAGGTTTGCCCTTTCTGGTTGCCCACCTTTGGGAGATATGACTTGAGAGAGACACAATGTTTCCGATTAATATCTGGAAACAATGTTTCCTGGTTTGACCACCTTTGGGGAAACATGGCTAGGAAAGTCAGGAAACAATGACTACTATATCACTAATTTGCAAATTTTTTTTTTCAGTTTCACCTATTCGAATTGTCTACCATGACGTCAAAACAGTTGTACAAAGATGTTTTTACAAGTTATTTATCAAAGAGAACCCTATAAATAGCGATTTGTGTTCAAAGATTATTTATTACCATTTAAATTTTTATATTATTAATATTCCGTCTTTGGCGCCAAAACGTTCATAACATATTCAATTTTCTAAAGAATATAAATTGTACATAAATAATACAAAGATTTATTTTTCTATATAAAGTATTAAGAGAGTATGTGTTCAAACAAATTGTGTTGTGTGTATGTTGTTGCTCGAATTCCCTGTAGTGCTGTTTTATACTCTATTAAAGGCTGGCTTAGACAGGTTTACACCTGCAAAGTTTCTGTGATCAACAGTAGGAATTTTGCATTTGTAAATTGTATGTTTTGAAGGGATGTTTCAAAGGATTTTCAAGAAATGTTGTTTAACACTAAGTCAGTTCCTAGCCTAGTTCCTCGGCCTTCCACCCGCGGGCGAGTTACAGGCTTCATGGAATTTGCAGGCTCCCCAGTCTCCAAAAAATCCCGGTCAACCCGCATGCCTCTAAAAAATCACCCTTAATAATCAGGCGCAAGCGAAAAGGCCGAGGAACTAGGCTAGTCAGTTCCCTCAAACATTTCTCACAAATCCTTCAAAACTTGATATACTGACTCGTACCCAATACGGGAAAATATTATCTTGTTTGCCGATTCCGAAGTCTTGGGGCAGCTGTGTCATCGTCCGCAACCTCTAGTCCTTTCATTTTGTATTACATGAAGTTCATTGGTATTTCGTTAACTTGTATTTTCAAAAATGACGGAATGGCCGCCGAATGGGTGTCAAAATATCAACAATAAAACAATGCCAAAACTCATTAAAATTAGCACAATTTGGCATGGAATTTAAACAGGAATAACTCTGCTCCTTGTAGAACAAGACAAATGGACGTGTCTGAAAAAAACCGTGCAAGAAATTGCGAGAAAGAAAAATGCATTGCCCATTATTGGAAGTCGGCGAACAACACTGTCCAAATATTGGAACTCGCGATTAATACAGGAGTCAAGTCCGTAGCTTTGGGCTCTGAGCATTGTTTATTTCTTGGACATAATGGCAAAGTTTTCGGCCGTGGTTGTAATCAACTTGGCCAACTTGGACTTGGTGATTTTGTCGATAGAAAAGATTTGACTGAGATTGTCTATTTGTCAAGAAAAAATGTCGCTAATGTTGAGTGTGGTAGCAGACACAGTGGGGTTTTGACCGAAGATGGTCATGTTTATTGTTGGGGTGATGCGGCTAGCGGGCAGTGCGGTGTTGGCGATATGCAAATGGTTAACAAACCGGCTAGGGTGTATTTTATCAACAGCCATGGAAAAGATACTGCGTCAGTGATCACGAAGCTTGCATTTGGGGAATTACATAGCTTAGGTTTGAGCAGTAAGGGGCACGTCTGGGCCTGGGGGAGCGGATCCACTCTCGGGTTGGGAAACAATTTGGCAAGAGCATTAACTCCGCAACTTGTTGAGGACTTGATTGGTAAAAAGGTTATCAGCATTGCATGCGGTAATTACCATAGCCTTGCAACAATTGATGTTGAGAATTCTACTAACATAAGGGCAAATAAAGATGCGAATACTGTAAGTCCAGATGAACGTGGTAACGGTAAAAAGAGGACAGGGTTTTCGACACGAATCCGAGTCCCCCTTCGCAATTATGCTAAAAACACCACAGTTGAACGTAGCAATTCTATGCCACTCACAAGAAAGACCGGCACTTCTCTAGTTAGTTCAAACGAGTCAGATTGCTCATCAAGTGACAGCGATAATGATGCTAAAAGTTCATTAAAATCTGATGCATTAAAACCAAGTGATGTTAAGATTAGTGTCTCAAATGACAGTGATACGTCAGCAGAGCAATCGTCACTATCCGGATCCCTTGACGCAGGTTTTTCCAAGCTCACAGATGCTTGGTCTGGGGTATTATCATATACAATGTCCTTGACAGGTCAAACTAGTACAACAGATGGGCGGGTCGTGCCTACAGATGGATCTACCACGCCTACAGATCAGGAGACAGTGCCTAAAATTAAGCAGAAACAGCCGAAGATGAAACCGCAAGTGTGCAACCCTGTGTTGGTGCAAGTGTGGGCATGGGGTAGGGGGACATTGGGTCAATTAGGACATGGAACTACTGAGGATAAGTAAGTTTATCAGTCCCAAAGCACCCTGTTTAAACAACGTTTTAATAATAGGTCATAATGGTCATTCCAGAGAAGATCCCCCCCCCCCCACAAAGGAGGAAATTTCTGTTGTTCTAAGGGGGAGGGGAGAAAAATTCATTTCTGACAACTGTTAGTGTATTACAACATCTGAAGAGGTTAGGGAGGGTTTCCAGTTTCCTCTCAGGAATGACCCACAATAATAATATTTATTTTTGTTTTGCCAATTCAAGCTTTTTATTATTTTAACTCTTTTTAACCCATTATCTAAGATTCATCAATTGCAGATAGGTTTCAGTGTTTTACTAATTTCCCCCGATTGCAGTAACAAACAATAGATTAAATACTATAGAAGTAACGCCATAGAAGTAACACCAGATTATTTTACATTGTCTAGTGCCACATGATTTCACTTGTCAAGGAGAGAGCAATCGTGGGTTAACCCTTTAAGCTGCAGAGCTTCCCCATTGACGAGTAAAAGCGTCTGGTGTTAGACAAGTAAAAATAATAAGTTGTTGCTGATTGTGGCTCAATGGGTTAAATAGACAAACAAAAATAGGGCTCATTAGAGTACATTAAATTGCAGTTTAATTAATGGGCCAGACTGCAAGGTCTCTGGTGCATAAATGTTCGGGAATCGAAGTGCAGGCTCTGGTGTGCAAAACAGGTCATATAGTTCCCAAGTGCATATCAAGGCACAAAAGTAGCCACTCAGACACATTTCAAAAACAATGAAAGTTAGAATGCCTCAAGGGCAGATTAAAGTGTTGAAATTGTTATAGAGTATACACCCTTTTCATAAATGGCTGCCGATTAAAAATTCTTTTATGTGCATATAAATTGGCCCAACTAGCCTCGGACTCATGTTAAGATTTCAAAGGAATTTCTACCCAGAAACGAGGCTAGTTGGGCCAATTTATATGCACATAAAAGAATTTTTAATCGGCAGCCATTTATGAAAAGGGTGTATACCCCAGATGCACTGAGATTTCTGCCTAAAAAAATATTGAGTGCGACATTGACAACAGGAAACATTAGATAATTGGGTAGCACCAATATTGGGTAGAGTTTTGTTAATCATTAACAGTTTTATACCACAAAATTATCCTGCATTAGCCAGACTTAAAACTAACAAGATACTGCTCCCTGTTTAACTGTATGTTTTTATTTGGTTTACAACAGACCATATCCTTGTTTGATTGACGAGCTTTGTGGAGTTCATATTGTCAAAGTTGTTGCAGGCAATCATCACTCTCTGGCTTTGACGAGTTATTGTCAAGTAAGTATAAACAGACATTTTGTACTAGCTTTTAAAGTGGGGGTGGGGGGGTGGGTGCAACCCCCTAGCCCTGGCCAGAGGGGGTGCAGGGGGGGTGCTATTTTTTATGATAAAGCAAAAAAATTATTAGAGACAAAATGAGATACAGTAATTTGAGTAATAACATGATGATAAGTGAACTGTGAACAACAATTACAATTCAAATACAGTAGTCAAGCAAGACTTTGCAATGGTGAAGCAAGTTGATGGGCGAATGGCACACATGACCGACATCCATCCCTGATCAGATATAAAGATTACCTGTATGAGGTGAAGCCGAGTGTCTTTAGGTCTGATAAAACACTGCTGCTCATGTTTTAAATTGCTTCGAAAATGATTGATCTAGTAAGTACATTGGCGAAGTAATTTTCAAAAAATATGTTGTGTTAAATCAAGCGAAATCTCTATCACATATAAAGATACGACACGCTTTTGATTTTTCTTTGTGTTTTTCTCATGAATTTTTCATGAATGAGTTTTTGAAATTGATTTATTGCACCTTGCATGCTGCAAAATAAAATTACTCTTCAGTGACAAATTGACAATAAAATTAAGTGGAGCAAAAATGCATGAGAGTGCTCTTGTATTCTGTGCCTATAGCCATGTTGTTTGTGGTCCACAATGACAGCTGTTGCATTGTAATTTATTGTTGTTAGGTATATGCTTGGGGTGACAACAGTCATGCTCAACTTGGCATTAAAAAGAATGTTATTAACAAGCCAAGGAAAGTTAAGGTAAAATTCTATGCTGTATCATACTGTACTGTAACCTTAACCCATTGAGCCGCAATGCGTCCAGTGTGCCCTACTTATATTTTTTACTTGTCTAATGCCAGACAATTTTACTTGTCAGTGGGGAAGGTCTGCAGCATAATGGTTAACCAAAAAATCTGACAATGTCTCTAGTTAACCTATTGAGCTGCAATATGCCCCAGTGCACCCTACTTATTTTTTATGGGGACGCTCTACAGCTTAATGGGTTAATACCAGAGTGTTTCGATATATTCATGTTACCTTAAATGTTTCAGTCTCTGTCGAATGTGTTGGTTTGGGACATTGCAGCAGGAAGCCATTATTCCTTGTTTCTTGGTGACAGTTCTCAAAATAAAACTGATGTTTATGTTTGTGGAAAGAAACCAAGGTACTGTATGTATTTATCAATCATCTTTTTTTAAAGCTCCACATTGTATATAGCACTGTTTCTTCAAATGTGGTATTGTGTAAATTTATGAATAGCAAAGCTGTCTATCCATAAGCCCAGATAACTAATAACTGCTGTCTTGCCTTTAATCAGTTAGTAAAAGCCAAAGCCAGCTGTGTGTAGCCATGGATTGCCAGAAACTTGTGTACGCAAGCGGACCCATTTTTTCACACAATGCGCCAAAAAGTTGCAATGTTCTCAGACACTTCTATTTAATTAATATTTTATATCAAAAGTTTTCATATTAATTCTGACAATACCAAGTACGGTACAACGAAATATTAATTGTGCCGTCTACGCCATCTCCCAAGTCCTAACCCCTTTGCAGCCATCTCAAACAGTTTTACTCTTTTTTTACATTCTAGTGGTCTGCCAATGTCATGTATGAGTAGCTTGATGGATTATCGTGACAATTTCGCGGCTCCTGTTGACCCTGATGCGTTCTTCAGTCAGAAAAGTCCTTCAAAGAAGGGCGGCAGCATGTCGAGCTCTAAATCAGAAACAGACATTAGTGCCATTACGACCTTGTCTGAGGGAGTGAAAATTGGCCAGATGACCTATTTTAGAAAGGTAGGTACAATTTACAATGTATTGCAAGTAAAGAGTACAATATTGGATTGTTTCAAGGGATACTGTAACTAGTTTGAGCGAACGAAGACAGTAATAATTATAATCAAGGCGGTTTTCCACTAGGCAAAATTTTTCAACCGAATCGAAATTTTCTTTTGTCTTACAAGCACTCAGATGGAACTAAACAGAAATCGATCTTTTGAATCTGAACAATAGAAATTTCGGTTCAATCGAAACACTTTGCTTAGGCCCCGTTTACTTCGGGACGAAGTCAAACCGGAATGAAAATTGAAATTGTCAATATCTTTACATGAGACCGGTACGAAAATCACAAAATTTTTAACTTATTCCCCTTGCCAGGCAATTTCTTTTTCAGATGGCTTTTGTTAGCATGTGTTGTTCCAATGTCAAGGTTATACAGCCGAGACCGGTCTGAAATGTATTTCTGTTTACATTCATCCCGGTCTGAATTCATGCCGGTCTGAAGTCAGTCTGTTCGGTTCAGCAGGCAGAATGACTTGAGACCGGTCTGAGTTATTTTCGTCCCGGTCTCATGTAAACATCTATTATAAATAATACTATGACCGAAACGAAATGGTCCTGGTTTGACTTCGTTCCGGTCTCATGTAAACAGGGCCTTAGTGGAAAACCGCCATAATAGTATCATATAGCTACCTCGAAATCCTTTGTTTCGCGAGGGACGATTAATGACTAATTCACCTCATTGCTAAAACATGAATCATCCCACGGGACGATTAGTTACTAATCGTCCATCTTAGTTATACTGTACATAACCTCTTATACAAGGTGAGTAAAAAAAAAATGATACCTTCGCGGCTAATTTGAATAACAAAGGTGTCAGTTCTTTTTTACTCACCCTGTACAGAGTGTCCTAAAAAAAGTACCCTCTATCGAAATTATCCTATTGTTATAATTTGAATGTCTGAGCACTATGTTGAACGCAAGAGTGCGTAAACACAGTTGAATTGAATTTTCAATCACCAGGCGCATGAAATTCTGTGCTTAATAACAATAGGATAATTTCTATACAGGGTGTCTCAAAAAAAACCAAAATCATTGAAATAACGTATTGTTCGAATTTCAATGCCGTAACACAAAGGATTTTGACAGGGTGATTAATTTGTTTTAAAAAATTAAAATATCTTTGTAAAGTGAACGTTTGTTTGCTCATGGGAATTTAAAAATGCTTCGTAAATTGTAATATGCGTAATATGCATTCGTGGGTTTAGTACTTTATGCCTGACATAACAAGTTTACGCTGAGTATTACCATTCATTATAGCAGTTATGTCAATCTTTTATGCACTCGTGGGATTAACTTAGTGCTAGGGCATTGAATATCGAACAATACGTCAATTTCAATGATTTTGGGTTTTTTTGAGACACCCTGTAGAGGGCACTTTTTGGGGGACACCCTGTATTGATGTTCAATTAAATATTTAACAGACATGAAAAATCAACCGTAACCTCATTAACGAACATCCCAATAGTCATTAGTATCAAAAAGCAAACGCGCCTTTTCACGTACGCAATTTTGTTGGTCAAACAGATGGTAATAGTCAAATATACCTTGTTTAGTCTGGTGTCTTGCGTCGGATTCTTGCACATGGTGAACAATGTGTTTGTCTTTCAGTGAGGTAAGCTGGTTTGTTTAATCCAACACATTTCTGAAAATGTACAGTATACATAAATGGTTCTGACAGCATGTATTTGTCCTCGCTAAAACTTCACAGTTTGTGTCCCTACACAAATGGTGAAGTTTTAACGGAGGATAAATACATGCTGTCAGAGTCATTTATACTGGTAGGGTAAGCTGGTGTGTTTAATCCAACACATTTCTGAAAATGTACAGTATACATAAATGGTTCTGACAGCATGTATTTGTCCTCGCTAAAACTTCACCATTTGTGTAGGGAGCCGTCACGATGGATGGAGATAGTGGCTGAGATGGCGAGCATAGAACGAGCTTTCTACTATAAACTCGCGTTGGTCTGGCAGTCAATGTTGGAGCCACTCATGGTCACAGGTATAGGTTGCATACAAGTATTATTATACATTTCACTTTTGGTACGTTTTTGTACATGCAATTTTCAGTACGACTTGCAAGATTGCAACTTGCCTCAATCATCGATGCATAACAAAGTCTGTCGAAGTATTTAGTGTAATGTTGGCCTGATTTCAGTTACTGCCTCTTCTGCATTTTCAATATTTGTACAGAGGTTAGTTTTCACGGCATTTGTCTATTTACAGTAACTCTGTATAAGAATACAGCACAACTGCCACTATGAACAAACGAAATGCAGAATAGGCAGTAACTTACAGTACACTAGGCAAATTTTACACTAAATATTTCTACAAACTATATGTTCTGCAACCAGCAGTTGAGTTAAATTGCAAATGGCCTATCATATTCTTGGTTTGCAATTTATGTAATGTCAGCCATGTCGGAGGAGAGCTAACAAAAGAATCTCATTAACAGCTATTGTATTTGGAGCATGTTTTTTTCCAACGTGGCTGCCATGTCTTCCGTCTTGTAAATCTCAAGAGATTGATTGCAAACCACCAATTTTCTGCTTTTGCGATTCACAGCATCACGTAATACACTGTAATTTACTGTTTACTGCATGCAGAATCTATATTTCAACTGGTCATGCATTGATGATATGCAAGTATATTAAGGCCTTGTCACACTATTGCGTATCGTACTAGCGTATGCCAGCGTATGAAAAATATCACTCATACAGTACGTCGGTATACGCTGACATACGCTAGGGGTACGTTAGGCATATGTTATATACGTTTTGAGCACGGTCGCATACGATGGCATATGCTGGCATACGGCGAGGCAGAAACATTTTTTCAGCATGTTCAAAAATTTTGTGCGTATTCGGACGTATGGTTTATACGATAAGCATACTTAAGGCACACGCTGAATACGCTCTAGAGATACGCCAGATGTACGGTACTCATACGCTGGCATTTCAAAGGATTTTTGTGCGTATGAAAATTATTTCATTAATTTTCATACGCTTTTCATACGTTTCTCTCATACGCAATAGTGTGACAGAGCCTTAAGTAAGAAAATAGAATAATTATGTCCGTGATTTCTGGCCATATACGTTGATAATAACTGTCAACAATGCGTCTCTCTTAATATTTCCCCTTTTTTTACCAGTTCTACCAACACTGGCCAACAATGAACAGTATGGTCAAACGCTGACACAAATCTGTAAAATATTTCATCACGTGATGCGTCACGTGTCTACCACGTGCAAACGGCTGGAAAAAATAGTCGATGATGTGATGTTGCTTAGTGATGCAGTTGCAATTCTGAACGATGAGAAATATTTCAAAGCTTTTGAAAAGTATGTTAAAAGTATTCTATTTTCTATGAATTTGTTTTATTTTTGGAGCCTCTTTAGTTCTTGCAAGAATTATTATAGTACGGATATTATTGTCGATGCAATAGAAGTGTTGATAAAATATTGCATCAATTCATTTCCTCAAGTACATTAATTCATACGAATTCAAATTTCTTTTTACTTCCTGTGCGTTTCCTATTGGTCAGTTGGTTCTGAAACGAAATCGAATTGGCTCATCTAGAAGTAACAGGAAGTTGATCAATTTTCTATCAAATGAATTGATCAACTTGAGGAAATGAACTGATGCAATATTTTATCAACACTTCTGTTGCATCGACAGTAATACTACCTCCTATTTTTGTTTCTAATTAATTTAATGGGTGATTCCAGTTATAAACGAAGTTTTGATCTCGACAAGAAGGACGAAATCCATATTACCATAGCCGGAAAGACCATCTTAAAATGAGTAAAATTGCAAAGTTTGGTTGCGAATTGTTGTAAAATGAGGAAAATATAGCCATGTGAAGTTCGCAAATTTTGTATATATTTCATCACGCGCGGGAAAAATAACCATTTTTGAGCCGAAGGTGGTTATTTTTACCGCGCGTAATACAAATATATACAAAATTTGCGAACTTCACAGGACAATATTTTCTTCGTTTTACAACATTTAGCAACCAAATCTACTCACTCTAAGACGCTCTTTCTAGCTGTGGTGTTGGATTTTGTTCTTCTTGCCCTGATCAAAATTTAGCCTATAGCTGGGATCACCCATTAATTCACAGCACTAATTTAATTTCAGATATTCCAAAGTGCACAGCGACTGTGTTGCCTGTGGTGTTTTGGATTGCTTGGGAAAAGATGCAAGGTGCGTTCGTATTTTAATGTTAACGTGTAACATACCAGGGTTCGAAATAGCCGCCGGCTTCCGGCGATAGCCGGCAGTTTTAGGACCTTGCCGGCGATTTTTAATTTCAAAGCATAGAGGATCGGCGAAAATATTATATTTATTCATCGATGACTCGCTTACAATAACACCGTACATATACATAGAGCTTGTTAATGTTTGTTCCTACCCCAAATAAAATGTATTATTGCGTTCTTACAAATGTTGTGTTGGTTTACATCACTATTATTTGGCCTATGCCCACTTCAGAACATAACTAAACTTCGCTTGGAAAATAGCCGGCAAAAATTTTCACCTACAAAAAACAGCCTACAAAATATGACATATTTTCAGAACGTTATTTCGAACCCTGCATACAGTAGCGGAAGAAGTTGTACGTGTATTATCAAGGCCGGATTTTGCTGGAAATAGTGGGGGAGGTGGGAAAAAATTTAGGGGAGGTGCAGCGTTCTAGCTCACGACCCCCATGGAATGTTAGGGCTTAGAACGGGGCAAAGTCAACGACATGAACAGATGTATGCATGTACAGTAGTGTACATATGTATCAGTGTATTAATGAATCATGACTGTACAACTCCAATTTTTACTCATCCACATTGCATTAAAAGGGTATTTGTCACAGAGATGATTGGCTATCACTGTTTCAATTTTACAGAAAAACCTTCTTACCAAGTGTAGACCCTAAGCAACCACAAAATGTCAAATTTTCACTTTGATCTATCATTGAAACTTTCCCAAGGGGAGGTGCACGACTTTTCAGGGGAGGTGCAAAAATTCTCAGGGGAGGTGCAAAACGATCTGATCAGGGGAGGTGCGCACCTCCCCTCAAAATCAGGCCTTGGTATTATAGCTGAAGAAGTTAGGGAGCCATGGTGCAAAGCTACCTCGGTAGTCTAAGGAGCTAACTCCAAGTTGAAAATGTTTGCTTCAAAATTTCAAAACTTACAGGTAGTTGAATTAAGAATTCTAGAGTTACCAACCAACTTTAAAAATCATGTGAAGATAATGGGCAATTCCAGCTGTAGACTAAATTTTGATCTAGGCAAGAAGAACAAAATCCATCACCACAGCTAGAAAGAACATGTTAAAATTAGTAAAATTGCAAAGTTTCGTTGCGAAATGTTGTAAAATGACTTAAAGAGGAAAATATGGCCCTGCGAAATTTGCAAATTTTGTATTAATTTGTATTACGCACGGGAATTTGCACCACATTTGAGCCGAAAGTGGTGCAAATCCCCGTGTGTAATACAAATTAACACAAAATTTGTTGATAGATTTTGTTCTTCTTACCTAGATCAAAATTTAGTCTATAGCTGGATTGCCCATTCACCAAACAGCACCGCCTAACAGCTCCAGAAATCATTGGCTATACCTCCTAAAAAATAAAATCTACAGGCATGAAGTGTATACACACGTAAAAATCTCACATCTTGTATTTGTAGCAAGTCTGCCAACAAGTCGTCAACAAGTTGTGTTCGCACTGCTTGCCCCAAGTTGTCAACAAGTTTGGAACAAGCTGTTAACATCTTGTGACAACCTTGTTGATATTATCAGATTTGTTGCAAGGTTGTTCCAACAAGTCTGCTACAGTCTTGATATAACAATATTGTTACAACCTTGTGTGGTCAACCTTGTAACATTCTTGTTATATCATGACTGTTCTGACTTGTTAGAACAACCTTGTAACAAGTCTAATAATGCCATCAAGCTTGTTACAAGTTGTTAACAGCTTGTTTCAAACTTGTTACAACAACTGGGAACAAGCAGTGCGAACACAACTTGTCAACACCTTGTGAACAGATTTGTAACAACTTGTTTGCAGACCCGTAACAACTTGTGCGTTTTTGCGTCTGTATAATACACGCGTAAAAACGCACAAGTTGTAACAAACCTGCATCAGACTTGTAGCAATGCTGTTTCAACAACTTCTAAACAGGATGCGTTCGCACTGCCTGTTCCCAGCTTGTTGAAAAATTGTCAACGGCTTGTTGACGACTTGCTATAAGATCTCGAGCTCAACAGACTTGTTACAAGTTATTCGAACAACTTGTTATCGTCCTGCAATTCAACAATTTGTCAACAAGTTGTGAGCAACAACTTTGTAGCAACTTGATAAAATAACAGCATTGTTACAACTTATTGACAAGCTTGCTACAAGCCTGTTGCGAACACATCTTGTTGACAAGTTGTGAGATTTTTACGTGAGTAATATTGCCGTAATTTTCTGATTATTTTTAATATTTATTTTTCCTACTCTAGTGCTGTTTTTATCAAAAGTCGATTCGTTTTTGAAGAGATTTTGGATGGATACAATGGGGTACGAGATCAAAAAGTATATTCTATTTTGAGCTTATCTTTTGCTAACGTATACTTTAACAGTATTGCTTTCTTCTCCAGGGCATCCAATCAGACAGTGATGCATTTAAAGATATTCTCAAACTGCCATTACGAAGAATCTCTCAGTTTGGAGAAAAGATTTTCGCTCTGCAATCTTCTTTACCTGAGGTACATGTACTTTTATAACTGTAGTCTGCAGCCATGATATTTAACATATCCAGCAACTTTGGCAGTGAAAAATTTGAATCTTTTTAGAATGACCCAAGTATTACCATGGATAATAAAATAAATGGATAGGAAACTAGCTGACGTGACCTAATGTTTTCAATGGGCTGATGGCGTGATTGGATGTCCCAACCTAGTTGCAAACCAAATTCTCAAAAACGGCATGTTTAGCAATAATACAGCTAAACATTTTAGTCAAAGAGCAAATAAATATAACTATACTCCATTCTACGATGAAAACTCTAAGTAATCCCAGTCAATTTTAGCAAGTATTTCAAGCACTAAACAGTGAAAAATGCATCGCAAATTTCGTTAAAATTGGGGACGCCAATTTCGTACCTACAAATGTAAAAAAAAATACAAAACAAAGACGAAAAACATTTACCTTGAATACTTTGTCGTGGCTTAGGCATGCTTTTAAAACAATTAGACCTGTTTATGCTTCAATATTACTCTTTTAAAGCGAAAAATATAGCGAAAGAACAAAAATGCCGAGAACTTTGGTATATTTGCAATACGCATGACGTCACAGATTGCAACTAGGTTTAGACTGTCACGTCAGGAAGTTTCCTATCCAGTTATTTTACAATCCATGGTATCAGTTATATACACATACCAAAAAAATCATATTTGGGGCACGTTAAGAACAAAAAGCTTTCGTTGATAGGGTGCAACTATATACCTGAAACATATAAGGAGAGTTTCGACGTTTCGAGCGAAGGCCTTTCGTCTTGAGTTACTAGAGTAATGTCGAGGTTCTCCTTATATTTTTCTGGTAGTTGCATCTCTATCAACGAAAGCTTGTGAATATCATTGGCACTACCTACACTGGCAAAGACAATTTAATAACAAGTAGAGCTATGATGTTGAAAGTTTACGTTTCGTACTGTACTGTACTGCAGTAACACTAGACCAGTATAAGTACTACAGGGTGTATAAAAAAAAACTGAACAGATTTAAAATTGCTCTCAATTTCGCAAAACAGCTATTTGTATCTGGATTTTTATATATATAGCTTCTTTGGGTACTTAAAATGTAAAATAATGAAAAAAATTTCTGGAACTCAAATTTTGTGAACCAGGGGGGTGTGTCTTTTCCAACAAACTAAAAATGGCTCGCGCACAAAATTTAAAAGCTGCAATCATATTTTGAGTTAACAGATGGAAAATTTGTCGGGATTTTAATTACTGTACAAAATTTCAGACAATTTGGTTTAGTTTAAGTCCCTTAACTATTTACGCAAAGTTGCAATTTTCCCGAAAAATCAGCTATTTGCATGGTTAATTAATGCATTTGCCTAATTTGCATATGTCAGCAATATGCAAATTAGGTAAAGGCATTAATTAAGCATGCGAAAGGCTGACTTTTTAGAACAAAATGAATAGTTAAAGGGCTTAACCTAAACCAAATTGTCTGAAATTTTGTACAGTAATTAAAAACCCGACAAATTTTCAATCTATCAACTCAAAATATTATTACACCTTTTAAATTTTGTGCGCGAGCCATTTTTAGTTTGTTGGAAAAGACACACCCCCCTGGTTCACAAAATTTGAGTTCGAGAAATTTTTTCCATTATTTTACATTATAAGTACCCAAAGAAGCTATATATATAAAAAACAGATACAAATAGGTGTTTTGTAAAATTGAGAGCAATTTCAAATCTGTTCAGTTTTTTTTGATACACCCTGTAGATAAAACATGAGCAGCCGATCTGTATCTGATATACAAACTCGAGCCGAAGGCGAGCGGGGGGAGGGGCATATTCATATATTCGTGTTCTGCACTATTAATTGTGTCATGGGGGGGGGGGGCATATTCATATATTCGTGTTCTGCACTATTAATTTCTTTTGAAATCAATCGTTTTTACGGTTTGTGAACACGAATATATGAATATGGTCCCCCCCACTTATCGATTTTTTGACGCCTATGTGTATATCAGATACAGATCGGCTGCGAATGTTTTATCGTACCCAAAAAATGACCCATCTCATGAGTTCATTGGCGAAGTAATTTTAAAAATAAACATTGTCTAAGCCGAGAAAATCAAAGCTGAAGTTTATGTAAATCAGGACAAATCTTTATCCGATTTACAAACATTGATTAAACATTCATTTCTTTTGTATTTTCCTCGTGAATTATTAATGAATTTTTTAAGCACAGTTAATAACCTTATTTTATTAACTGTGATACTGTATAAGGAATGACTCTTACTGAAAATAACTATTTCGATCACATTGAAAGGAGGCCCCTTCCAGCCGTTTGTGTTAAAAGATTGGAGCACGCTGTCTAATAAAATGTTATGTTTTCAATTATTTCTTTCTATGTTTCAGAATTCCACCGAATATAAAACCCTGTTCGACCTCGTTATGCAGTGGACCAAACTGTCATCCGCAGACGACGAGCGGTTACAGGAAGCAACGCTGACCAAGGAATTCTGGCAAGAATGTCCGCCCAAATTAGCGGTACGTCTTGAAATACAGTATATGACAAGGCTGGATTTTGGTGGAAATAGTGGGGGAGGTGGAAAACATTTAGGGGAGGTGCAGCGGTCTAGCTCACGACCCCCATGGAAAGTTAGGGTTTAGAACGGGCCAAAGTCAACGACGTGACGTATGCATGTAGTGTACATATATGTATCACTGTATTAATGAATTATGACTGTACAACTCCAATTTTGCCTTCATTACAATTACTACCAAGTTTCTTTCAAAACATTGCATTAAAAGGGTACTTGACACGGAGATGAATGGTTATCACTGTTTCAATTTTACAGAAAAACTTTCTTACGAAGTGTAGACCCTAAGCAACCAAAAAATGTCAAATTTTCACTCTGATCTATCATTGAAACTTTCCCAAAGGGAGGTGCATGACTCTTCAAGGGAGGTGCAAAAATTGTCTGATTAATTATAATACTCCATTCCACCTTGACTCTACACTGGAAAAAAAATAGTGAAATCCATACTATGAAATTTGCAATTGCACCACTAAATCCATACTATTTTCATACTATTTCCATACTATATTCATAGTATGGAAATTGCAAATTACTATGAAAAATGGATTTCCATACTATTTCCAACGAAGATCCATACTATTTCCATAGTAATAATTTTGAAAACAATTCCCACTGCTACAGTACCGTTTACCAAACATCTCTGGTGGGAACAGTTCAGAAATAATAGAACTATCCAATAAATAAATCAAATTAGTTTTATTTAGCCTTAGTTTGATCTACGAACGGTCAAAACTATGGTTGGGTAGAACTCTTCTCAGTTGGGTTCGCAGACTAAACCCTTCCGTCAAGTCGAATTTTCATCACAAAATTTTGTACTTTTGATAGGCATTTAACCGGTCAAATGGCAATGCGTCTAATGCACCCTACATTATGTTACTTTGTCTAACGCCAGACAATTTTACTCGTCAAGAAGAGAGTGCTGAAACTTAATGGATTAATTAAACTATCTGCCCATGCATAATCTTGAACTGTCTGTGACAGTGTAGGTAGTGCCAAATTTATTAACAAGCTTTCGATGGTAGGGATACAACTACCTGAAAAGTATAAGGAGAATGGACCTATTCCCTAATGAACAAAATTTTGATCTAGACAAGTCTGGACAAACATTTCACCACAGCTTGAAAGAGCATCACAAAATCAGTAATATTCCGAAGTTTCGTTGCGAAATGTTGTAAAATGCGAATAATATAGCTCTGCGAAGTTTGCCATTTTTCAATCATTTTGTATTACGCATGGGAAATTGATACCGCTTTCTGAAGAAAGGTACCAATTTCCCGCGCGTAATACAAAATGACTGAAAAACGGCAAACTTCGCACGGCTATATTATCCGCATTTTACAACATTTCGCAATGAAACTTCGGAATATTACTAATTTTGTGATACTCTTTCAAGCTGTGATAAAATTTTTGTCTAGACTTGTCTAGATAAAAATTTTGGTCATTAGAGAATAGGTCCATTTGAATCGTGTTAACCCTTTAACTCTTTAAGTGACAATGCACCCTTTATTATTCTACTCTGTCTAATGCCAGACGATTTTAATTATCAAGAGAAGAGTTCTGGCACTCAATGAGTTAAAGCACGTTCTTACATTTGTAAATTTCCAGGAGACATATAGAAGACCACATCGTCGATTGTTAAAAAGTAGCAAGGTGTGTGATTTATTTCTTCCAAAACCTGGAAGGTTTTCCTCACATTGGTTTGTTCTGCTCACTGACACATTCTTTCATATCGTGGTAAGTCCTTTTTTATTCTCTTTATATTTCGATTTTTTGAACGGAAATAGCATGATAAGTATAGGTAATAGGATGATTTCGAGTGCAATTTGGAAAAAACATTCACGAGTGAGTTTTTCAAAGACTATCAAAATTGCACGAGTGCAATTTGACGAGTGCAATTTGAAGTCTTTGAAAAACTGACGAGTGTATGTTTTTTTCAAATTACACGAGAAACCATAAAAATTAATTGAAAAATCAATTTCAGAATGTTCCAACAAGGAATCAAGCCTTATTAAAGTCTGTGGTTTAACTTCCCAGTGCTCTAACCACATTAGCAATGTATAGGAGTAGTAACTTATGTCTAAATTAAGTTTGAGTCACTTATACTGACTATATTAATATTGTTTTTTAGTCGAACAAGACTTTTTTGTCTTACGACTTATCTACGGTCTGGGCTTCGCCTGTGCCTGATGTTCACGCTGAGAATTTTACGTACGTATAAAAATAATCCTGATTTGGTTTATTTCCTTTGTTTTTTTTATTTATCTTAACTTGTTAGCAGTTAAACTTGGGGCACTTTCCATTTAATGGCCTGATGGAAAGATCCGGCGGTCCATGTTTCTCAAACATCTAGCGAAACTGGACCTCATTCTAACTTATCTAAATTTTCCGGTCAGATAGGTCCAATGCCCAAACGTTTTGTGTTCCATTCAACAATTTGACCGTTCTGACCGTGTTAATGGAAAGCGCCCTTGGGTAACATAACCATTACATTCTGACACCAGATCAATAATGGATGGTGTTTACTGCCGGACCGCTATGGAGAACAGTTTAGAACTGATAATGCTAAAATTAATTATTTCATCCAATTTTCTATATGTAGTATTTAAAACACGAGAAGGAGTGTTTTATCATATTTAAAAGTTTTAGATATGATAAAACGCGAGTTCGAGTGTTTTGAATAGCTTAAAATACGATTACAAAAGAATGCTAATTAGGATGAACAATTATATATAATCATACTAATTAGGATGAACAATTATATAAAGAATACGAATGAAGATGAGTTTTGTCAGATATAAAATCACTCACAAGGTTTATGAATTTTTAATGAGTATTTTAAATAGTACATAGTAAATTAAGCATCCATCATTAGGATTTATATGGCTTGAAGCCGTTTACAGGCGAGCAGGTTTTCTATGACAAGTTTTCATACGACAAGAGTACAGTATATACAGCAGGCAACTTTGCCGAGTTTTTCTGTGAAAACTACGCTTGTTCAAAAGTTAGCATGGCAGCTTTGAACAAGTGTCATGCATGCATGCATGTCATATAGAAAAAAATCGGCAAAGCACAAATGTAATCCTTTACTTTGTTCATTCAGGAACACGATTAAAATCACAACACCGGAAGAATCCATCACTCTCTGCTCTAAAACTGCCACCGAAAAGGTAGACAAACGCTCTGATCTACTGTGTTATGACCGTTCGTTTCTGGACGTTTGTTGTGTTCTACATGTATCTCTTATGTGTTTCTATAGGCTCACATCTCTTATGTGTTTCTATAGGCTCAGTGGTTGGTGGTTATCAATCAAACCATTGCTAAAGTCTTGTCCAAGACTACTCCATACAGGTGAGTTTTTCACAAAAGATACAAGACTACTGTACTTGCCATAGTTAAGAGTATACATAAGCGGTATAGGAGAGCTACTGCATGCCCCCTTCCCCTTCAACAGCGGGACATGAGTTTATATAGTTTTAGGGTCTTTTTGATGGAAATTATCGACCAGGAACAGCTGCGCAAAATGCAACTATACTGTATATGTAAGTCCCGGGCAGGAATTGAACCCGCGGCCCTGCGATTTCTGTGCAGCGCTCTAGCCAACTGAGCTACAGAGAAGCCATGCAGTTGTCGAGCTCTAACCACATGAGTCTATATATCCTATTATATTTTGCGAATTCCGCTGACCTATAATAGATCTTAAAAGACGAAATAAAAAACTAAATAACCGAGCAACAAAATGTCAAACTATAACAAAACACATTGCGAGTATTGTTTGTAACGTCATATTGATCAGTATTTCACAAATAGATTGACTTGCTATCAGCTTTCTCCAAGTACAAATGAACAAATATCATACATGAAAATATGATGCAATTAATAATAACGAACATCTCATATAAACGTTACAAATACAAATATTTTGAACAATTAAAATTACATCTACAGTATGTTCTATAAACTAATTTCCGCTATTTATCTACGACTACGGATTTCATCTCCAGGAGAATCAATACAAAATGTGTCCGTAAATACTTGATTTAATGTCTGTATCACAACGACATGGGGACATCCAATTCTTGCGGAAAATTTGGTCCCTCTAAGAAATAATGTGCGAAGAAATGTTACGTTCATCCAATTTCAATATCATTTGAGATTTGAGAATGCTATTTTGTTCACGTTATCGCCTTTGCATCAGTGCCTCTCTCCTCCTCAGAGGCTTCTGTTGGCTATGATTTATACATACGATTAGTATTGAGATACTTTTCACTACACTTTACATGGCGGATTTTGGAACACGAGCGGAGTTTGGTTTGGCTAGAGGAATAGGCTAGGGGAGCTATAGCCCCCAGTAAAAGTTGGGGGGGGGGGGGAGCTTGGTAGAAATATAAAGATTCTTGATCGCCGAAGCGACAGGTCATTAATAATGGGAGGAGAATGGCAGCGGGTGATAAATACCAAATATTTGAGACATTTTTTAGAGCCGCCTTAATCGTAGGACCTTTATATTTTCAAGACCTTAATTCGTCACATTTTTTGGTGTAAAATAGGTAATGGGACATAAGTACTCGTGTAAGACATTGTGTAGCCTAAATAATTAGAGGACCAGTATTCAAAATGGTTGTTATTTACTCCGACTCCTATGAACTGCATATACGTAATAAACTATGGAACTACGGATTATAGGAACTAAAAAAGGTGAAGTATTTTGTGGGATACGAACAAAGGCGAGAGATTGAAAATGAGTAGGAAATTGAGTAGTTAAATAATTGGGGTCGCCCCTTGTCACATATTTTTCAGTTTGAGACCGCCCTTAATTCAGGCAAAAATAGTTGAAGCCGCCCCCTTTTCTCAACCACCGCCCACCCCCTCCCGTTATTAATGACCGGTCCCTAAAAGACATGCATTGAGCGGTCAATGAAATATATTCTTTATATGAATTTAAACTAGGGGCTTCAGCACCCTTCACAGTTATATATATGTCTTCATGGTTGAAAAGCGTAGGACTTTTTCCATTGACTGTTACGAAATTATTTCAATTGAATTAATATAGTAAACATAGTATCAAAAACTAATTTTACACCTTACCGTCATTTTCCGAAGGATTTCCGGTTTGCTCCTGCAAACCAACTTCAATTGAAATTGAAATCTCTTCTCGATGACCGATTGAAAAACTAAAACTAATAATTAAAACAATTACTTTTACGAGACAGATTAAGACTTAGGCAAACGGTAATGACTAGATGCATGGGATTTACTATAGAGTTCAAAAATTTACAATGAGAAAAAAAAGATATAATGTAACACAAATTATGGTTCAAATTATGGTTATGCTTATATTGTTGGGGGGTGATCACTGGAAAAAAAAGTGAAATCCATACTACGAAATTTGCAATTGCACCACTAAATCCACAGTGTACCATCCTATTTCCATACTATATGCATACTATGGAAATATACAGTTATTATGGATAATCAAAATCCATTCTATTTCCAATAAAGGTCCATACAATTTCCATTCTATGACCTTCTATAGATTTTCAAGATTTTTTCCAGTGGATTTGTTAGAGTTTTTCCCAGTGGATTTGTGGGTTAGGATTTGGGATTATCTACTATCTTATTTTGGGATTATTTATTATCTTATTATCTGGAACAGTTCTAATCTCTCATTGAGAAAATTTGGCGGGGAAATTTACAGTTCATATTACAGTTCGGTTTACCTGAGTAATAGGCATTCTTCCGATAGTTTGGTATATATAGAGGCATTGTCATTTTTGTGATCGAGCTATGAGATATTGAGACGGACAGCCCAATAGCTAGGCGTGTTAAATATTTGACTAAAATATTCAAACACATCATGCACTGAACTCAAGACATAAACACGCAAAGGTTGGCAGCTGCTAGCGATCTACGATGCTTGGGACTGTACGAGAGAGAGAATTTATTTCAGCCGTTTACGGCAAAATAGTAGAGTTAATTGTTGCTGTATTATCTGGCTTCATACGACAAAGAATAAAGAATAAAAATTTTATGGTTGAATGGTTGAAAAATCAACCAAGATGGCCTCGATTGCAAACGAGCAATTAATTTACTTATTTTGAACGAAATTAGCTATACGCTTTCACATTTGCAAATCCTATAGGCTAACCACATATACGCAATGCGTACCTATTTTTTAATTAGCTGTATTAACTTTATTAATTACGTCACTATCATGGTAAAATAAGTCACCTTCTTTAAAGTGCATATGACATTAATACCATTTTTTCACCAAAAATCAGCAAAAATTAGACAATTCGAATGATATATATCATTCCTTGATCGGATAAATACTTCCAGAGATAATTTAGATCAAACATGCAAAAAAATAGGGTTTTTCAAGACATGGCCGGGAGAAAAGAGGCTGAGTACGAATCAGGTTTGTGATGTCACACCGGGGACGGAAGTGAATCGACTCATGTTGTATTACAATAAATATCTATTGTGTGCAATGAAAATTTGTATACTTTGCGCTTCGAAATGCCTGTTAGATATGTTGTGTACGGTTATTACAACACAACAGATGCTGCAAATCAAATAGCTCTACATCCAATACCATATTGTGGAGATTTTCGGCTGCAGTCCTTAAGGAAAAGGAAACATTGGATAGATTTGGATAAATTGAAGCGAGTCAGATCGGAGCCGTCTCGTCAATTGTCACCTTAATGTTTGCACAAAGACATGCATTTCATGCCGAGGCTAAAAGAATGCACATTTCCTCGACTGAATGAGATATGAAATTGGGATTAGCGTTTATCCGACGGTACAAACTGCGGTCGAAAGGCAGGAGGACATATAATAATGCTATTAAAACTGCGAGGGTGATTTTATATAGACGCAAGGTGAGACAATGTCTTATATTGCCTTTAATATACTTGGTTTTATATTTGTTGAGAATGATAGTATTGGATATTAAAAATAAAAGAAACTTTATTAAATACAATTGTATTATACTACATTAAAATTAGATAAAAGTTCTTTAAAAGTTTGTTGTTAAAACAGGACCCAGTATTAAAATATTCAATGTTCATATTTGAGTGCATCTATATAAATCAATACTGCCAACTGCATTCAATATTTCAATGTTACCAATGTCCTGGAGCCTCGTAAACATAGTACTGCAGATATTAGCAGATTAAAAGAACTTTGGTTTCATAGACATTCTTCACCATATCTAGTCCACTGAGTTATTAATAGCATTTACTATTGAATATTAAGTGCTGATGGATGCCATATATGCTTAGATGCGTATCTCTCATAATTATTAGAAAGGAATTTTAAGTTTTTGTGCGATTTAATTTTTAATATCCAATACAATCATTCTCAAAAAAAATAAAACCAAGTGTATATCATGCAATATAAAATACATTGTCTAACTTTGCGTCTAATTCGCCTTTTAATTTAATTTTAATGTAGTATTATACAATTGTATTTAATAGAATCTTTGTAGTGGAGGTACACGCAAACCTATAAAAGATCAAAATATCTTCTCGACGTTTCGAGCAAAGGCCCTTCGTCAGGAGCGACGCTGAACAGCCACAAGACTTATGTATTTAATAAAGTTCCTTTTATTTTTAATATCCAATACTATCATTCTCAACAAATATAAAACCAAGTATATTAAAGGAAATATAAGACATTGTCTCACCTTGCGTGTATATAAAATCATCCTCGCGGTTTTAATAGCATTATTATATGTCCTCCTGCCTTTCGACCACAGGTTGTACTACCGTCGGATGAACGCTAACCCCAATTTCATCCCTCATTAGTCGAGGAAATGTGCGTTCTTTTAGCTCCGACATATTCAGAGTGTACAAAAAGTCATCTGCCTTGAAATGCATGTCTTTGTGCAAACATGCCTTTGACAATTGACGAGACGGCTCCGATCTGGCTCGCTTCAATTTATCCAAATCTATCCAATGTTTCCTTCTCCTTAATGACTGCAGCCGAAAATCCCCATAATATGGTATTGGATGTAGAGCTATTTGATTTGCAGCATCTGTTGTGTTGTAATAACCGTACACAACATATCTAACAGGCATTTCGAAGCGCAAAGTATACAAATTTTCATTGCACACAATAGATATTTATTGTAATACAACATGTTTGATCTAAATTATCTCTGAAAGTATTTATCCGATCAAGGAATGATATATATCATTCGAATTGTCTAATTTTTGCTGATTTTTGGTGAAAAAATGGTATTAATGTCATATGCACTTTAATTTCTTATTGCAATTGTATATGCACACGTTTGTTGTGCCTCCTTCCTCGTTACTAATAAAGACTTAATAGTAATAATAATAATAATAATATAATAATAATAATATTAATGGAAACTTTATTTCTAACAAATCTCACTAATTAAGGTAACTTACAATTGGCTATTTGAATCACAACTATGAACTAATAAAAATAACAAACTGAATACAAAAAATATATAAATATACAAGACAATCAGATACTTCAAATAGATAACAAGTCCGGACTTTCCTATTCCTTATTTCGACAGCAGAAAATGTAATAAGTACTTCGAATGGCAATAGTCATCATTTTCCCAACACAGTACGTTCGGTAGATAGATAGATAGATAGATATTTTATTAAAAGCTACTTTGCAGCCACTTTGGCTGAATTACGTAGATTTTTACAATAGTATATAAATTTAAATATTAGACATGTTAGCCTACTAAATTATATTAAATTATTATAATATATCATAGATGGCACAAAAGTGTTCCTAAAGCGGTTAGTGTTAGTCATTGGAAGATCATAGAGGCGTTTGTGTCTTAAGTTATATTTCGCTTGGTGTTTTGGCGGCAGCAGTGCATGGAGTTTATGGTCACTGTCAGTTGATATTTTAAGGAAAAGCTTTTCACACAGTGTTTGTCTTCGGACCGATAAGGAGTTTAGTCCAGATTGCTGCAGGCTTTCTGAATATGGCTGCCCTCTGTAAATTATAGCCAAGGATCGTTTTTGTACTCGCTCAAGATCGTCAGACAAGTACTTTGGTAAAGAGTGGTGGAATACCTGTGAAGCGTATTCGAGAGTGGGTCTAATACAGGTACAATAAAAGTTAACAATATCAGCCTCAGGAACATTTGCACGTTTGAGTTGGACCAGACAATACAGACGTTTGTTCGCTTTCTTGATGACATGGTCGACATGGAGGTTCCATTGTAATGAGTTTGAGACTATCAGGCCCAGGATTTTTGCGTGGTCCACTATTTTGAGTGGAACGTTGTCTACTTTAATTGGGTCAAACTCCTGATGAACACGCTTAAAGTCGATCCTCAGCTCCTTGCATTTTTCTGCGTTCAAGTGCAGTTTGTTGTCTGCAGACCATTTCTCAACAGACGTGGTAGCGGATTGAGTGTGGGTAAGGGAATTCTTTGGAATGATTTCCGAAATTGTCGTGTCGTCAACAAACTTCCACGTACTGACGCTGTTCACACGTAGGTCATTCACCATTAGAAGAAATAGCCAGGGGCCTAACTTGGTGCCTTGGGGTACTCCTGAGGGGACGTGTCTCCATGACGAAAGGGCGTCAGCAAGCTTCACTCTTTGGTATCTGTTGGACAAAAAGTCGGTTATCCAGGAGCATACCTTTCGGGGTAATGACGTCAGGTTTTGAAGTTTTTTAATTAGGATGGAATGGTCAACTAGGTCAAATGCCTTTCTATAATCAAAAAGAGTTACTCTGACTGTTGCGCCAGATTTGTCTGTAGCTTGGGACCATTCGTGGATCATTGAGATCAGGGCAAGCACTGAAGAGGACTTTGGTATGGCCCCGTACTGATCCGGATCTAATGTATTCATTATAGCAGGCGCTATGTACTTTGTGATCACAAATTCTTCTGCAACTTTAGAGATTGATGGCGTCAAGGAGATCGGTCGCAAATGTTTGTTGACATCAGTGGCTGGTTTTACCTTCGGGACTGGGATGATGTCAGCATGTTTCCACATTGACGGTAATCTCTGTTCATCAAAGGAAGAATTGATAATATTACAGACTGGTTTTGCGAGTATCTCGGCATACGTTTTACACAACCAGTTTGGGATACCATCAGGCCCGCTAGCTTTTCGAGGATTAATTCTCCTAAGTAGGTTATATGTATCTAGTTCTGTCAATTCAAAAGTCTCTAGGTCTGGACCAAACTCACCATTGTTGAATGGGTTGCTAGACAGAGGTTTATATTCACGCATGGGTTGTAAGAAGGACTCGTTTATTCTGTTTGCAATTTCCTCTGGGTTACCTTTATAATCATGTTCATTAAATTTTAGCTGCGTAAAAATGTTTACGTTGCTACTGTTGGGCTGCATACCTGAAATACGCTTCAGTTCACGCCACCAAACAGACGGTTTGGTATCCTTTAGATGGATTACTTTCGTGGAAAAGTAGTTGTCACGTAAACGCTTTCTCTCTCGGTTTACAAGGTTTCTGTAGTGACGAAATTCTGTCATTTTTTTCTGAGCGAAAGCTTCCTGTCGGCGTTTAATCAGGGTGATAAATTCAGGTGTTATCCAAGGTTGATTGTTGGTGTGTAATTTTGTTTTCTTTAGTGGCATTATTATATCCAGCCCAGTTTTAATTAAGTCCTCAAATAATTGTTCTTTCCTATTGCATGACTTAATATCGTTGAGTATGTCCCAGTTTAGGGAGCTAAGGTACCGTCCCAATTCTTGTTTCCGAATTTCCCTTGTGTCGCGTTTCCAAAAAACTTTTTTCCTATCCCGAGATGAAAACAGCCGCCTTTCTTCCGGATTTAACAGTAAAACATTGTGGTCGGATAAGCCGAACGGAGGGAAGGATGAAAGGGAGTTTTTGTCATAGTATTTATTGAGATTGGTGAGGATAAGGTCTAGTGTTTGATCGCCTCTTGTGTGTAGATGAACAAGTTGTTTCATTCGGAACTGACGAGACAGTCTGCTTACATTGAGACGGTTAAAGTCGCCAGCTAAAATTATTCCACACCCAGGATAATGACCTTCTATGTCCGTAAGAGACTTTGCAAGGTATTCTAACATCATGTTATTGTCCGAACTTGGGGGATGATATAAGGTACCAGTAATTATACATGGGAATCCTCGAGGAAGTCTGGTTGGTCTAATTTTAACCCAAAGAACTTCAGTTTCGGCGTTGTGAAAGTGATCTAAAATTTCGTAACTGATCGAGTTCCTCAAGTATAAACAAACGCCACCGTGACTACCAGAGGATCGGTTTTTACAAACAACGTTATATTCGGGAATATTGATATGGCTTTTATCGATAGCATTTGTAAGCCAGGTCTCTGTGATAAATACTACATCGGGATTTTTGTTCAGAAGGAAAAGACTGACTTCGTCGATTTTGGGAGCAAGAGACATCACATTGGTTAACATTAGGCTTGGGACAAACTCTTTAGACGGCGTCTCTTTCAATAGTCGCGAATCGGTTGAGGTTTCTCCAGCAGGGATTGGGAAAATGTTACATGTATTAGGCACGCTTTTAATATGATGCGAAGATATGCTAATTTTGCGTTTGTTATTGTGACCATGAACGTGAATATAGTTCCGTGTCATATTGCGTATTTTAACTTTTCTTCCACTGCGGCGACCGCGGAACGGTTTTAAAATGCCAAGGGTACGAATGTAATTATATATCTATATGCTTCGACAAAGGCGAAAGGCGGAAGGAACGAAGAAATGATGGTTTGTAAACGTGAGTTAAGGCGATATGAGAGTTCGACGTCGTGGGCTGTGATAAACGCTGGTTTGATGTTACATTCGAAACGCTGTCGTTTGAAGTGTTTGACTTCACAGGGCCAGGATTTGGTGATATATCAGCGCATATAGTCAAGTCCTCTTTGAAAGGTTTCCTTGGCAGTACGAGACTTGTGGATCCGTGCTTCGTACACTTGGTAATAGCTCGCGCGATTTTGAATTTCGATTCAAGACTTGACCGCAACATTACTATATGCGATCTCACTGGCAAAATGAGTTCATATCTTTCTGAAAATGATCCATCCATTGACAATCCAGACCAATCCTTCAACATTGTGTTTTTAGAAAGTGCTCTGTGTACTTTAGGCTCATAAGCATGCGTTAAAAATATAAAAACATTTGAAATAATGAGCAGCTTCAAGATTCTGTTGGCAGTTATGCTGCAGTACTGCAACAGATATTTGACAGATACTTGCAGACATTTTACATATATGTCAGTTTGGTAAGGGTTCTTACAATAGTTGCATGTTTTGCCGAATGCCTGGGCAAGATCTTAATGCGTGAACCATACCACAGAATCCACACTTTTCGGACTTTGTTTTTTCACGGCGGCTACCTATCTGCCCTTTTCCTTGATTGGCGTCATATCGAAGAACATTTACCGACTGATTTGCTTCGCTCGACTGCGCACTAGCATTCATGACTTTTATCTGTTCCTTCGACGCTTCGGCTGCTCTAGCCATACTTATAGCTTTTTCCAGTGTAAGTTTCTCTTCTCTTAACAATCTTTCTTTCACAGTTAAGTCTTGTATACTAAACACAAACTTGTCCCTTACCATATCGTCAACCGATGTATATTCGCACGATTTTACTTTGTTCTTTAATCTTGTGACAAATTGGTCAACCGTCTCTGAATCTCTCTGCGTAATTTTCCAGAACTGGTATCTCTCGAAGACTACATTTTTTCTGGGGTTACAATACCTTTCAAACTGTTCGATAACCTTATCCAATTTCTTATCATCGCCAGCAGAAAACGCGAAAGTATTGAAAACTTCTATCGCATCTTCGCCGGCAAAATTTAACAATATGGCTATTTTAATCGGGTTGTCTTTGTCTTCGCTTCCCGACGCGACTAAATATATCTGAAACTGCTGCTTAATCGTCTCCAATTTTCTGATGTATTTCCGTCAAAACTTAAAGCACTCGGCTTGTGAAAGCTATCCATAGAATCCCACACCTGACACCATGTAAAATACGTTTAATATCCGTATATATATATCCCACAGTCTTGTCAACAACAAGTCTTTTATATCACACAAAATACTAATTTACATAAACTGTCATGCTATATGTGACAATTAGTTTTTAAAGATCTTTTAAAAGATGAAAGTGATAAAGATGATCTCAGAGATTCAGGCAAGTTATTCCATAATGAAGCTCCACTATAACTAAAGGAGCGCTTAAGATATCCGTTCTAGGTTTAGGGAGAAACAGTTTGCCTTCAGAATCTCTGAGACTATAGTGACTAACTCTAGTTACAAACAAATCTTGTAGATACATAGGTGTTAAATTGTTCGTGACTTTATACATGAGAATTGCTTTTTGCATTTTACGGTTAGTATATAAATTATTCCATCTAATAAGTTCTTCAAGTACAGAGCTAGATGAAGCATCATAGGAAGAACGTGTTATAACACGTGCGGCTATATTTTGAAGTTTTTTCAATTTATCACTCAATTTACTACCAATGCCGTCCCAAACAGGAGCGCAGTAGGAAAAATATGGCTCAATTAGTCCCTGATACACTCTAGCTGCTGTATCTTGACTAATATAGCTTCTTATTCGCTTCAAAGCGCTAATTACGGCCGAGACTTTCTTTGAGATTTCATCAATATGCCTTTTCCAGGTCAAGTTTACATCAATTTTAAGTCTAAAGATTTAGAGCTATTGACTCTTTCAATTTGATCATTGCCTACAAAAACATTAATTTCATGGTCATCAAATGTTGCAAGTATTTGACGAGAACCGATAACCATGAACTCAGTTTTAGCAACATTTAAACTTAACTTGTTAACATTAAGCCATTCTTTAAGTTTTCCAAGTTCGATATTCATAAGATCTTCAAGCTCATCAAGTTTATTATTTTGAAAACTTATGTTGGTGTCATCGGCATACTTCTAGGTAACCCCTCATACAGGCATTCAGGCAGGTCATTGATATAGACTAAGAACAAGAGAGGACCAATAATAGAGCCCTGAGGAACCCCGTAAGTTATGGGACAACTGTCGGAAAAGTTTCCATTGACAAAACACTATTGTTTCTGATTTGTTAAATATGAGTGGAACCATGTCAAAGCATTATCATCTACTCCATAATGTTTTAATTTAATCAGAAGTATGTTGTGATCAATAGTATCAAACGCTTTCTTTAGACCAATGAAAACAACTCCATTAAGGGGGCCGTTATCAATATTTACACACCAACTATTTGTTGTTTCCAACAAAGCGGTAAGAGTGCTGTGATTTGTACGAAATCCGGATTGATATTTCGACAATAAATCATTGCTTGTTAAGTAGCAATAAAATTGATCATGCACTAATTTGCCGAATATTTTAGCAACAGCCGAAATTATTGATATTGGTCGGTAATTATTCAAATCATTCCTTGCTCCATTTTTAAAAACAGGGACGACTTTAGCAATTTTCCAATCGTCTGGATAAATTCCCTGAATAAGAGATTGGTTAAATATTTTAGTCAACGATGGAGACACAACATCGGCTGATAACATCAAAATTCTTCCTGAGATTCCGGAGATTCATCGAAATATTACCCTCAGTGATATTTCCTTCGGGCAAAGCCCCTCGTGAAATATCATCACTTCGGGTAATATGCCCCCCCCCCCCGCTCCTGGTCAGTAAATGATAAAAGTCACATTATCATGTGGTACAAATGCTGTTTATTGATTGGACAATTTGAGGTATAATAGTAGATTAAAGGAGAACCGAATAATTTTATTAACGTTTTTGTTAACTTGTCTCTCGTTTAATATACTGTTATCTTTGCACGTTAAAAGTTTTCATTGTCCGACATTTTGAAAAGCCCGCGCAAAGTCATTTAAACTTCCCTTGCGTGCAGGATTGTTTGATTCCACTGTAACACACGGGTAATGACCAATCAAGTTGCATAGTTCACTGTGGTTATTAAATGATGAAATTTACCTTGCATGGTGGCAACTTGCTCTCTCACACTACATTTGGGATTGTTTAATACATCAAATGATCAAATATCTTCCTGCACAATATGCGACACTGTCGTATAAGAAGATAGCTATGCCATATAGCATACATGTTGTCTATTGGGTTGTACTTGGGATTAGAATCATGGAAAGATACCGAATGTGGATAAAATAATGAAGTAACCATTTTATAAGAATAGATAATTGATAATAATTTATAAGAACAGATAATTGCTTATCGGGCATATATTTGCAAGTTATACCTGACTTGCAGCTTGTGGAGCAACACCAGTCTGTCGCAGATTTCGTTGTCTGCTTTCACAGTCACACGCTTCAATTTGCAAATTTTATTCAACAACTATCTATGTTATATTACAATTGATCAAGTCCCAATCTAATATAATGTTTTTCAAACACTCATTAATAATTCATAAGCTTATTGGCAAATCATGTCAACCATAATATATCACGTGCAGTGGCATTGAACCTGATAAAACACTCCTAATTAGTATTCTTTATATAAAGAATACTAATAAGGCAGTATGTATTGTAGTCGTGTCCTCATTAGTATTCTTTATATAAACTCGTGTTTTATCAGATATTAGAAAATAATATCGTGTTTTATCATATAATCACATTAATTATGCAAAGTAGTCAATCCAAATGAAACGCGAGCCTGTTGCAAGCTATTTGTTTCGTAAAACGTTTTGATTACGAATGTTCTCTGTTCAGGGGTTTAATTGAACCATATTTAATGGACGACCTTATTGAGTAGTTGTCTCACTAAGACGAAGGTCGACGAGTTGAGCTCATTTTAGATAATTGAACATTCAATTTTAATTCCCTCTTGGGAATTGTCTATGGTTCGTTTTCCATGCAATTCTCAACGGTGGAAGAATGTGATTTCGACCGGCAGTTTTTATTTGACGAGTATGTGGCCATTTCTCATCGTAACGATTTAAAAAGTGTATCATTGAAAAGCTAAATAACTGTTCTTTCGTCGTATGTAAATATTTAACTGTTTAACCACGTTTATGATGCACGACAGCCGGTTGAATTTCCATAGCGTGTTTTTTAGACACCCTGTATAACGTAATCTAATTGGCTCACCATCTGAACGTCGATCAGGTTATCAGGGGGTTACGTGCATTGTTTGAAAGGAGAAAGGTAATCTTCGAGTTAAGCCCCTCGAGTTAAGCCCTTCGAATTAAGCCCTTTTCGAGTTAAGCCTTTCGATTTAAGCCCTTTTCGAGTTAAGCCACGACCCCGCCCAAACCACACCCATTTTCGTCAAGGGCTTAACTCGAAGAAAGAAACACAACTTGGAAAGTTCGAGTTAAAGTGCCAATGTCACAGTCAGGGAATTAGCCTATTTAGATAGTTTAGATGATTTTAAGAACTTTTGCAATATATTTTATAATTCGAAAATTTGGTCTTCATGGACTATCAGAGGCTCAAATTTTAACCGAGAGTGTAAAAGGACTAGGGCGAGACGTCGGATGTGACGTCAAACCGAGAATTCATCAAAACAAAATACATATGATTTACTATAGTTTCTTGATAAAATTGAGTATAAATTAGATGTTTCTGCTAATTTCTTCGATTGAAATTTAAATAGACTATATCCTTAACCTTCAGTTATCCAACTGACAGGCAGATTGAGCGAGACACTAATTACACTGACCTGAAAGGTCAAGTGTTTTAAATCCCTAAATATCTGTTTTTCCCGTCGTCGAGAAATCGAGTTTGCTTTAGCGCATCGCAGGCTCAGTTTCAAGTGTTCCAGTCGTTCCAGTTTACTATACAGATCAGATTTCAAGACGGCGGCCATTCAATGAGTGACTATTTCTGTCTCGAACAATTTATTCATTTGTCAACGAACTTTAGCGCGTTTTTCTGTGGATTTTGGATTTATCCTTCTCTGCACTTTCTTGGAAGTTGACTGGGTGTTTTTTTTCCTGCAACGTCTCTGGAAATGCAATATCTGGATCGCCGAGTTTTTCGAATTTTCTACGTTTATAAATACCGAATCACGGAATGTAAACAATGTTGTCTGTGTTTAGTAGCGCATCGCATGCTCAGAGACCATGTGCATTTATGGATAACGTTTGTATTTGTGAGTAATACTTGTGTTTCATTGGGCATTACGAAAACATCTCCTGAGGATCAACGCCACTCTTTTAGCCTTTCACCGTTTCACACTTTGCGTTTGCGGTTCACGTTTTGTATTCTTGTCTATTCCACCATAGCACGTATGTCGTCATTTTCAGGTCAGTGTGAACGCCTGAGCAGGCGTCTTGTTTTATAGATGAGTGTGCAGGTCAAACACGTATACGCTGATGCTAATCTATCTTGATTTACATTTAACAATTATTTGCGAAGGCGAGGTGATTATCGGGGAATATTCGCCGAGACGAAGTCGAGGTGAATATTCCCCGATAATCACCGAGCCTGAGGCGAATAATTGTTTTAGTATTTTTACACAAGTCTTTTGTGTTATTTGGTACGGAATTTATTTTAATTTTGCTTATTTCTTTATCAGTAAACTTCCACAAAACGGCTAGCCGCCATTTTGAAAATTTCAGTTTTGTTATACAACAGCTTAATACGTCAAATTTGACCAATCAGGTTGTAGGATTTGTTATGTTCACTTGTGCAAAAATACTAAACAGAAATATCGGGACAAAACGGCAATTTAAACTGTAGACTGTTAATAAACCCAATCCAGGAGAATCTATTCTCTTTGCCAATACAAGCCAGATTGGAAATTATTGTGGGCAAAACACCTCGTCCAGGATCAATAGAAGCACCGGTTTGCCTTGAATTTGGGCGTCATAGCCGCGTCAGAATGTGCCGTAAATTTGTGAAAAGGTGTAAATACAAATTTTATATGATTTAAAAAGAGAAACTCTGAAGGCAAAGTGAACTTGTTTTATTGTGATTGATAGGTATTCATGAAAAAGTTAATATTTGAATAAATTCGTGAATCAAGCTACTCTTGCAAAATCGCCAAAATGTAAACAAAGCAAGTTGCCAGATCTATTATATTGTGTTCATGAAATAATACAACTAGGCTACATTTTGTTAGATATGACACATCTTTATATTTCTGATTCATGAATAATAAAAATCACTTTCTTAATTATAGTAAACTATAATCATTTTGAAAATTATTCTATTGTATTTTTTCGACATTTGACCTTGTCTGCTAGCAAAATGCCTAATGTAAACAATGCCGGCAAGCCAAAGGGGCTATTGTATTTCATTTGTGAGCTATGACATACAAGTCTTTACCATACTCTTTATCCTAAAAACGTCACGGTTTGGATATAATAAATTTTTCAATTAAATGTGACAACATTTTGAAACATTTGTTCTTTGTATTATTCAATTTATTTGGGGTGCCGAACTTGCCTGGTTGCAAGATGCAAATAAAGCGAGGAATTCTATTATATTTATAAATTATAAATTTATATTGGAGTAATATGGTTTTGGGGTCTGACATTATATTGATCCATGAGCCATAAATCATTTTGGAAAATTGCGAGCTATCAATTAATGTAAGTGTAATCCTTGGGTCTGGAAATCTGGATTGACCCATTGCCTTGGCTTTGCTTTGTTTACATTTGGCAATGAAGTGGTTTCATCTGCTAACAGACAAGTCTAGAATTTTAAAGTAGGCTATATACTCAAGAACTAAACAAGGTTTTCAAAATAACAAGTTTAAAACAATGTTGTTTTAAATATGCTGCCCAGAACCATAAATATATTTGTTGCCCAGAACCATAAATATATTTTATTCTTGCTTTGTTTATGCATTCTGCAGGCAAAACTAGAATGGCGACTTTATTCAAAGATCAATTTTCTCATGCATATAACTATCGGTCACAATAGAACAATTTCACTTTGCCTTTGGAACTTCTCTTTTAAATCACAAAAATCCTATTTACCCACCCTTTTCACCAACTTACGGCACATCATGACGTCCAAAATCAAGCAAACCAACAAGCAAACCAACGCCTCTGACTCTGTATTGATCCTGGACGAGGCGTTGGGCTCCCAATAATTTGCGCCAATCCGGCCTGCATTGGCAATGCCGAGGGCAAAGCGAATATATTCTGCTGAATTAGGTTTAACAACAGTCTACAGTTCTTTGCCGTTTTGTCCCGATATTTCTGTATATAAATCAAGATAAATTAGCATCAGCGTATACGTGTTTGACCTGCACACTCATCCATAAAATTAGTATCTCGCCCAATCTTCCTGTCAGTTGGATAACCGAAGGTTAAAGATTATAGTTACATTTAAATTTCAACTATCGAAATATCAAAGAAATTTCCAGAAACATCCAATTTATACTCGATATACTTATCAGGAAACTATAGTAAATCATATGTATTTTGTTTTGATGAGTTCCCGGTATGACGTCACGCCGGCGCTAAAAGGCATTCTTGCCCCAGTACTTTTGTAAATTTGAGCCCCTGAAAGTCTACGAAGATCAAATTTTCGAATTATAAAATGTATTGCAAAATTTCTTAAAATCATCTGACCTATCTAACTATAGGCTAATTCCCTGACTATGACATAGGCACTTTAAGCCCCGTGAAAAAAGAAGGGCTTAACTCGAAGTTATTGAAAATATTCATGCAAACACAATGAAACTAAACTATTTAATTTCTAAAAAACGAGTCTCAAACTGCAGTGCTATCACTGACCCTTTATTAGTATGTGCCAATCAAAAAAACATCTACAGTTTAGGTTAATATATATTTGTATCCATGCAATAGTCCTGAGACTGGATGTACAAGTCATAGTTTTCGACAATAGTTGCGAATACTACTGTACAAATATAAATCCGAATGCTGCAATATTACTAGAATAAAGACAAACGGCCATACTACCACACGTTGTGCTTATTGCATTACCATAACATCCACGCACTGAAGTACCAAAGCCAATACACGTGTCAGGAGTTTTGCAGTTGTTTTCGTTATTTGCAGCCATACCAATCCGCATTTTCATATACATGTGCCCAAATTTTTGGGAGTTGACTTCCTTATGATAATTAAACCCTTCTTTATTGCAGTGTTGCTGCAATAATGAACCATCAGAAAGCGATTTCCACTTTTGTCGCCCCGCTGTTATTTCTTTAAAGGTTCCGTCTTCGATCTCATTGAACAGTGAGCTTCCTTGGTGGTCGAAACTAATCCATTTTGTAACGTTTTTCACTTTCATTCCGAGGCACATTGTGCTAAACGGTGTGTTCCAGTAAGATGCCAGTTTTGTTTGTTTTTCTGTCAAGCCTGCAAGCCCGTCTTCAACTGCGTAGGGTATCTTGTTTGTCCAGTACGGGGAGCTGTAGTTAAAATCCGTCTATAAAGGAAAGTTGTTCACTTAATTAAGCTGGATATTTTTTAGTCATTTGGTATGATCAATGACCGGTAAATAATTCTCCACATCAGCATTGCGCCAACAAGTACACATGCACGCGCAAAAACCATGTAGGACGTTAATACCTGTAAACACGAGCGCGTATCGCGTGGTATAAACTTGCGTAAAAAGTGATCTAAATATGCGTAAAAAGTGATCATTTCGAATCGATATGTAATCATGTCAGCAGCGACCGCGAGAGAAGAAAATTGAAATGTTAGGAGTTTACATTGACAGGGATGGTGAAATTTCAAGCAATTTCCACCCACTAATATAATTTCTGCACATTTTCTTATTTCGTATATAATTCCTGTAAATAGTTTTCTTGTATAGAACTTTAATGGTTTGACGTTCTTCGTGGAAACCGACAAACTGTTGACAAGCTGAGGCCAGCGTCTTTGAATAAAGTTTACCATACCATACCAATACCATACCATACCATACGAATTGCAAAATTTTGATGATTGGTTCATTTGTTTAGTTCCAAATAAATGCTTTGGATATTTTAATGCACATAAAAAATAAGCGTGTTTTTCTACCTGTAAGGTGAACATTTCAAGACATTTAAAGGCAAAACCCTTCCCTCCTTGTATGGCAAACTAATGTCCACTCCCTCTCCATATTTGTACTCAAATTTGTGTTGTGAACAGTGTTGTAACGAGTCGATTCATTGACTCGGACTCGAGTCTACTCCAGTCGCAATTTTCTGCGACGCGATTCGAATACGAGAAATGACTTGAGTCGAGTCAACAACCCCCAAATACCTCGACCCGACTCGATTTGTTGATATCTGCCTTAAATGACTCGAGTCAACTCAGCTACAACTTTTTCATGATAAATTCATCAAAACTATTGTTGTTGAATAGGTTGGGAAGAGTCCTGAAAGAGCTTGAAGAAATAAAAAGTAATTCTCGATGCAGATCTATAGGCATGTTTCCACTTGTAAAATGGCATTTTGGTTTACCTTTTTGTTCACCGTACAATTCGCGTAGCCATTGATTCGACTCGGACTCGACTCGAGTGAGACCACTGACTCGACTCAACTTGATCAGATAGTAAAATGACTCGACTCGTGACTCGACCTGTTGGTGACTCGTTACAACACTGGTTGTGAATAACATGTCTTCTAGTGCAGGAATGAATTAAATTGTATTGTCAGATGCATATTATTGTTATATCCATATCTTTGTTTACAGTACTAAACCACAATAGGTCTGCATTGTGACGATATGTCAAAGAATGTATAAGTGTCTCGAATCCGCCGTTTATTTGTGCAGTGGAATTTTATTTACCTGGTTGCCATCCACTTTCATAACTAGTGTCCAGCCTCCTGACCCACATCCAGGTATTTCACTCATGTGACAATAAACTTGAAATTGTTGGAGTGAATCTTTATTTTGCAGTTCGTAAACACCATTGGTTAATGATCTAAACAGGAAGTAAACAAGATGTATAATTTATTTGCGGAAAAGTAAAATTATGCTTCAAACTTGGCATGGCCTAAGTTTAGCCTGCGGCAACATTTTTGTGGTATATACAGAAGTTGCTAAAGATGAACCAGGAGGGAAGCATTATAGTCAGAGGAGGAGTGAGGGTCTTCCCACAATACATTGCGTCTCATTATTATTCACAATTACGATTTTTGGCAAACGTTAACGAAAAAGTTGTTGAAATATATTGCGATTTTTGGCTCTGAAGATCTCGTTTTTTCGAAGGTATGTGATGATAATTGTTTTGTTTGGACATCTAATTAAACAGTTTTATATTTTTTTGGTATAGATATTGCTTTTTAGTTATGCTAATTACGCATTGTATTTATGCTTGTTTCGGGTCAATGGACACGCCAAAAAAATGGCTTTGAAATAACGCAGGAGCGAACTGCCTTTTTTAATGAGAAAAGTAAAAAAAAACACGTCATCAAATTCAGGAAGACTTGCTCTTTCTGTTGGTTCTTTAAAACGCTAGATCGCTCCTCCAAATCGACAAGCAATCGCGGTTTGAAAATGGGGTATTTTTGCTATATTTTAATGCCGATGGCGGGAATAGACCGGGTGTTGATCCTTATGGCGCGAAGGAAACTATTTTCTATATCTTTGAAACATACGCATGTAGTTGTTACATATTTTGAGTGTAATGTTACCTTTACAATTAAGGTCAGAATGTTAGTTTACTGTATTGACTGTATTTTTGTCATTTTGTTATAGAATTCGGACATGGAATCATGCAGATTGTAGTGATGTTGTCATTGTTAGTGACGAATGAAATGATACTGCCATATTAAAAGCGAGTATATACGAGGGTATATACGTCTAAAGGTGATACCCCAGGGAAACCTAATAATAAGAGACACAAAATTTCACGTTTGAAGAATTCAACATCAAGTCGAACTTTGTTTCAGAGTCCTGGAACATCACCAAAGGTATAAAAGTACAAAGGTTTTTACAAACATAAAATACAGTACGACTGTACAAAAACATTGTATTTTAAACCCTTTAAGTGGCAATACGCCCTGATGCACCCTACTTTAGTATTTTACTCTGTCTAACGCTAGACAATTTTACTCCTCAAGTGGAGAGTGCTGCCACTCAATGGGTTAATGAGACAATGAGATGTTAATGGGGGGGGGGGCTAAAAGTTATTATCATAGTAACAATAACTTTGTATTTTAATGCTTTTTTGCCTGTGAGAATTTCTGTCCATAGGCGCCGTACGAGGCTGGGGGTTGCAACCCTCCAGTCAGTGTTCAGTTGGGCAGGATTCTGCTTTAAAAATTGGGCAATTGTTTTAAGATTGACTTCAAACAGAATTTGTCTGCATAGGAGTTATGTTCCTTCTTGTTCATCTATAAATAAACTCATGACAATGTCGGGCAATTTCTGTGCACCTGTACGCCAATGATATTTTTCAATGCTGGGAGTGGCATTTCAGAAAACCTATAGTGCACAAATTTCCTGGAGAAGCATGCCCACAATCCTGGTAAAAATCCATGAGTTTCTTTGTTGTTGTCTAATGGTGCTGGCACTGACATTGCCTCCCTCACTTTTGCTGTTTGTTTTGTAGTTTCCTATCACAAAGATTAAACCGACACCTCCAAAGAAATTCCCAGTAAAACTTCATAAATGGACATGCAAGGAAGATAAAGCATTCATTGAATTCATATCTGTTGCAGATAATCATGCGAATGATTGCAATTGAAGAGGTTTACCAATTATGTAATACCTCTAGATTGTTTTAATACATCATTAATTAAGCTCATATACTATTCATGTGTACTGGTGAAATGAATGTAATGCAACATTTTAAAAACTTCTCTTTATTTGTGCACATAAATTTTTTTTTAAAAACCATTTTAATTATCTTTAAGTACAGTAATATTATGTTAACATTTTTTTTATTTTAAAATAAATAAATTTTATAAACGTCAATTATGTAGTGTGTGATCTTTTTATTAATTTGTGATGAGCAAGAGAAGACTATACACTGAAAATTGTGAATACCATACATACCATAAACCTCCGAATACAAGCCCCCCCCCCCGTGTATAAGCCCCCCTTGTGTAAGCCCATCAAAAATCACTTACGAAAGAATATAAGCCCAGTGCTTATAGTTGGAGGTTTACGGTAGATTGTCAAAAAACTGCAGAACTGATAAGATGGTGTCCATGGGATACAATACTTATGGTATAATGGGTCATTCCAGAAAACATCCATACCACCCCCACAGAGGAAATAGGAAGTTAACCCCCCTACCCCCTTCGGATGTCCTAATACATTTACTATTATCAGAAACAAATTTTTCTCCCCCCCCCCCTCCGGACGGCAGAACTTTCCTCCGTGGGGGGAGTATGGATCTTTTCTGGAACGACCCAATTAGGGAAGTGACAAAAACACACACAGTGCAGGAAAACCGGGGTAGGGCCAAGACTGTACCACTACAGGTTCCCCAGCTCTGTCCTTACAAAAAAAAAGAAATGTCAGTATTACACCAGACACCAATATTCAATTTTGCAGCTTCTGCTAAACATTTTGTTTCAATGTTTTTTAACCCATTGAGTATTTGAGTGTCAGTACTCTCCCCCTGATGAGTAAATAGTCTAGTGTTAGACAGTAAAATAATCTGGCGTTAGGCAGAGTGAAATAATAGACAACTGGTTGATCATTTAAGCATAGATAACTGGTTGATCAGTATAAATCCTTGCAATGCATCACACAGTAGTCAATACATTTATATATAGTGTCATGATAGTGCTGAATCGCCTCCATTTCATTCTCTACAATGCTATCACTGGGTGCTTCTTCCATCATTTGGTGTGTATGAATGTGTGTCAGGGCAAACAGGATTTATTGGTAAATTAAAACAGCTACAATCAGTTGGCTGATGTAATTCTATTGGTGGAAGTACACTATCCAACTCATCATCTTGACTATTTGGGATGTTGGTGATGTTGAAATGTCAAACTCCCAACAACATAATATTGTTATATTCTTCGTTTATACCTCCTTCCCGTGGATCATTAGGGTCGAAGAACTACATGATATGAAATAAAAATACGTTTTTAATAATACTGCTGTATTTTTAATACAACATAGGAGGATTTTTCTATTTTTATTTAATATAAAAATCATCTCACCTTAAAAACACAACTAGAATGAATTTGTACCAGTGCAGGACTACCGCAATCAGCGAACAAATTCATCAATTTTTATCCCGTTAACCACAGCTGGACAAAGGACTATTCATCGAACTATCCATAGAACTATAAACATGAACCTCACGACATTCAAGTTCATCACACGGTAATCCTTCCGAAATTAAGATTAAAGGCTGTTTTGACACACAGTGAACACACCTCAGAACACACAGAAGCTCGTGTCCACCCAAAAACGAAGCTTTCTTTCCATGCATAGTGCAAAAATTCACCATTTTACAATTTTTTTTCTATAAATCTTTTCTGAATCTCTTGAAACCTCGAGGTGTAAACACAGCGAAAGCCGACCGAACAATGACGGCGCAGAGCGAGAAATCGATAATATGTAAAAAACCGCGCCTGACCGCGTTGCATGCCGGTATAGTCCTCACTCCTCCTCTGGAATCTCCTCTGGTTCATGCAACCTCGTACCCAGGGCTTCTGCGCTTATTGCTCTCAGAAGCCCTGGATAATCCAACTCAGAACGTGATTTGATTGGTCAATGCCAATTTTGGCAACATGGCTGCTATCACAAGGAGTGTATACAAAAGTTAAATGCTGGTTTTTGCATGAAAATACTTCCTTAAATCAAATTCTGGGCTATTTTGAAAAGAGCAAAAGAAGAAATGGACTATTTGTATTTGTAAATAAGCAAGAATGGCGAACAGAGTAAAAAAAGCGAAAATTGAAATTTCAATTATAAATCTACAACTTCAACCACGATATTCAATGTAAATATTACATAATAAAGTTTTTAATACCTTTTTTACCTTTATTTGATAAATTGTGTGTTCTACATTATTGCATTTTGTATTGGAATAGGATAAATTATGAATTATACACAAATATTTAAATTTACAAATTATTCCCAATTTGAGGATGCTGGCCTTGCTGGGTGCACTGGCTCAGAGTTTGTATTAGTGCCTATTTATTATTGATTATTAGTTCCTCTAAATCTCTAATGTACAAACATTGTAATCTATCACTTAATACCATAAAGAAACTGTTGATAGCACATATATTAAATGACTATTAATCAAAATGAACTAAATTTTGACCATTATATACTTAGCATATTTCCCCCAATATTGAGGGAATAATTTCTCCTATTTATTTTTATAATAAGCCAATATTGCTCAACTGTGAAGTCAATATTGCCTGACTGGCCTAGTCTGCCCAACAATTGAGCCCCGCCCTGTACGCCTATGACCAGGCCTACAGGTGGACCCCCAACATGATTGGTCACAATTTTTATTTCTCCAAAATTTCCCCTCCCCATGTACAAGGATTGACAGTTTGATTAGATTGGAAAAAAACACAGTTATATTGGGTCATTCCAGAAAACACCCATACCACTCCCACAGAGGAAATTGAAAGTTAATCCCTCATACCCCTTTGGATGTCCTAATACATTTATTATTATCAGAAACAATTTTTTGCCCCTCCCCCTCTGAACGGCAGAAATTTCCTCTGTGGGGGGAGTTTCTGGAACGACCTATTTGAGAAATGCTTTTGCACAAATTTTAAATTTTCTTACAATTTTCTTGTATGTCAGAACACTGTTCTAAGTTGCAACTAAAATTCAGAGGTCTAAAAGGCTCAAGTCAATTCCAGTGGTGTAACCAGGGGGGGGGGGGCAAAATATTTTAAATGTTCTGAACTTGTTTGTAA